CCATGGTTTGGTACGGAATTCCTTAAGATCTCATCGTAACTTAAATTGATTGGTCTGGAATTCACACCAGATTAGTCAATCAAGCCAACCACGTCCATCACGCCAACCACGTCCATCACGCCAATCAAGCCAGCCTAGTCAAGTCCCACCATCTACTACTTGCTGCTACCATCTACTACTTACCCCCCTACTGACTCCATGTCAATAACTACCTAATCTACCTAATTACTGTTTAATTGAAGTAGGTACTGGTGTAATTTCAAAGTGAGACATTGGGTTTTTACTTTTTTTTAGCATTTTTTCCTTCGGCGGTTAAAACTTTACTCTTCTTCTTCTCTTCCTCCTCTTCTTCTTCTTCTTCTTCTTCTTCTTCTTCTCTTGTTAATCAACTTTCTATTCAGCCATCTACTGGTCTTCAGCTTGTGTGTTTGGGTACAGATCAGGTTCTTGCTGGGTGCTAATAACCATTCTACTTGCCCTTCAGGCGCTTTTCTCGTTACACACCTTATCATTTTCCTATTATTTACTTGTTTCCTTCCTATTGAATCCCAATAAGGTGAAACATTTCTACTTAGTACAAGTTGAATAAAAAAAAATTGTTGTCTACCGGTTAAACCGCTGCATCAGCTCAGTTGCATCCATTTTTTATCAGTCCTCCATTACACCCCATCCCTTTTGCAGCTGTCAAATCACCCTATTCATTTCCATTTATCATCCCTTTCCTTTGCCTTCCCATCCTGCTTTAATCGCCGCCCTTGTCTGATTCATTTTTGGTGGTATTTTCCTACAGTTTTCCTACGGTTTTCCTACGGTTTTCCTCTGTTCTTGTTGGCATAACGGAAGTCCGGAGTCTTGTTTTCGCAGTGGGAACTTTTTTTAACCTTTTTTTCGTTTGTGTGAGGGTTTTCAGACATTTTTCTTGCACATAAATTTTCCCTCCCTGGCGCCAGTTGATGAAATTTGCCAGTGAGTCCACCCGTACCCCCATCCTGACTATTATAAGATGTCTGAAGTGCTTCCAATCTCCTGTATATCCTGTCGTCGCAGGAAAATAAAGTGTAATAAGTTGAAACCATGTAATCAATGTCAAAAACGTCGGATTGTTTGTCAATTTCCTTCGACTTTTAGAAATATCAAAATTGATGAAAATGAATTAGAAGCAAATGAACTCTCAATAAATGAAGATCGTAATAGAAGTAAAAGCTCGAGCTCGGTTTCAAATAACTCGGGTAGTTCAAGTTCAAATCAAAGTCCAAATAATCCAACTGATATAACGAAATTAAATGAGGAAATTGAATTATTAAGAAATGAAAAATTAACTATTTTACAAGATAATTTCAAATTGAATCAAAAAAATCATCAATTATTGACTCAAATTAGTAAATTTGATCGCTCAACAAATTTAGAACATTCCAAACCTTCCGATAGTAAAAATGCAAGCCATGATCACTTCCCAATAAGTGGTGAAACTTCTGAAATGGGTGAAAAATATTATGGCCCGCAATCGTCAAATTTTATGATTGAAACTTTAAAGAAAAAACTGACTAATAATGAATCATTACGTAAAGTTAAATATCTGAAACCAAATGATTTAATTAATTTTGGTGATTCAAGTTCAGAAACTAAATATAGTAGTGATATTGATAAATCGAATGATCACGATCAAGATGATGATTCGAATTTAACCCATGATTCAATTTCGGGTAATTTAATTGAAAGATCCTTATTGAAAAAACCTTTACCATTTTTATTAAAAATTGACCCAGAATTAAGTAGTGATTCGGATACTTCTTTTGATTTATTAAAATTAAATTTCCGAATTATTTATAAAATGGTTGAATTATTTTTCATTAATACTACTTATTATAAAAGTTTTATTAGTAAAGAAACCGTATTCAATTTTTTAAATAATTATGAATCAATTAAAGATAAAGAATGGGAAAATGATGATGATTTGTTATTATTATATATGATTTTATTACTATCAATTCAAAGATTAACCCCAAAAGAATTTATTGATATGAATTTAATGAGTAGTTCAAATGACTCAATTAAAAAATTTAAAAAATTTAAAAATCATTTATTAAATAATATCTTATACCATAATTTTGAAAAATTAAGACATAACTTAATTAATGAATCAATTATTACTATTCAAGCTTATATTTTATGTACTGAATGGTATTTTATTGATCAACGTTATGAAGAAAGTTGGTCAATGTTATTTCATACTTGTTCAATTGCCTATTCAATTGGTTTACATGTTATGGGGAAATTTAGAACAACTACTGATAGTGAACATTCTAAAATTAAATCAGAAAATGATTCAATGATTATTGATGATGATGAATCAAAAAAAATTAAAAATAAAATTGAAAAGTTCGATTATGAACCAAGTGATGAAGATAATGATATTGCAAGATTTAAAGTTTGGTTTGCTCTTAAAAATATTAGTGGTCAAATTTGTTCAGTTTTAGGACGTCCAAATCCAATCTCAATTCAAGTAAATTCAATTGTTTTAAAATCAAGTAGTGAATCCAATTTAAGTAAAATTGATTTAAATGCTCATAAAACTCAAGTTTTATTAAAAATTGGTTTAAGCGAATGTTTGAGGTTATCAAATATGATGTTAATTGAAAACTTTATGATTAATTTCACCATGAATGATTTATTAAATTTAGATTCAAAATTTGAAAAAGAAACTAATTTGCTCGAATGGTTTTTAAGTGATAAATATACTGATGATGATTTAATCGATTCTCATAATAATGATGATCTAAGTAAAATTGATGGTGATTCTTCGGGGGGTGATCAATTAAGTTATGACGAAGGTAATTACTTACCTTTAAGAATTGATCGAGTCAATTTAATTATTGATTTAATCACCTTATATATCAATCGAGCTAAATTATTTGAACCTTTTATCAATCAATTTCAAGAAGCTTCAGATGCTGCACTTATTACTAAATCCTTACTTTATTCAATAATGAAATTCCTTGATTATATTATTGAATTCATTCAACAATTTTTAGATAATTTTGCCGATAAATACTTGGCTTATGAATATCAAATAATGAGTGAAATAAAATTTGGTAAATTGTTTAGAATTTATTATCCATTTTTAAATTCTTTCATTTATCAAGGTATTATTGTTATTTTCACATTTTTAAATTATAAATCCAATGATTTTGTTTATTTTTCAGTTCATTCAAATGAATCTTCTACAACTTCAAGTGATTCGAATATTGATGAACCAAAAAATGCTTCAAATTCAAATACTGCCACCGTTGGTCCTTCATCAAACCCCACCATTGATTATAATTCTTTTTTACAAAAATTAGAAAATAAATTGAATGCCTTATTACAATTTGATCTGAGGATTTCTAGATTATTAAACCAAAGTGTTAGATTATGGTCAACGAATATCGTTTATTTAATTAATAAAAACATCCAAGCAATTAATTTAATATATGAAAAACAAAAAATTGAAAAACAAAAATTAGATGATGATTTGAATGATTTAAAAAATCAAATTGATCCTCCAATTTCTTCTGCTTCAAATAATGTTCAACATGATTTGGGTAATGAGCTTTCAGGGATTCCTTCCACCAATACAAATAACCCGGTGACAAATATTTCACATCCATCAAATGTTGTTCATTCAAATTCAGTTATTCCTCCTCATACTAATCTTACTGATGATGAACCAGGTTTAGATAATTTACTTGGTTTTAATATGAGAGATCCATTTTGGTTAACTAATCCGGATAATTTACCTTATTATTTAAGTAGTCCAAGTGACGATGGTGATTCAATGCCAAATAAAAAACCAAAAACCCATTCCGATGATACTACTAAACAACAAGATCAACAATCAAATAAACATTTAACTTTCCATCCTCAACCTTTAAATCAAACTGATTCCTCTGGTTTATTTAACTTGGATAATTTAACCCTGGGTAATCAAGTTACTAACTTTGGTAATTTATATCAACAAACTCATGATTCCCTGGTTGTTGGTATGCCATCACAACAACAAGTTCAACCTTCAACTGGGTTTGCACCTCATTTGCATCAAGAAGAACTTTCATCAATTCGCCAAATTGGTTCATCCCACTCTCAACCAACCCCTCATAATCAGCCACATCATTCTTCTCATTCTTCAAATCATCCTCAAACTCATCCTCCAACTCATGCAACTACTTATAATATGTTTGATCCTAGCCAACCAACTGGAGTATTCCAAACTTATCAAGGTTCAAATGCAAACTTCCAACTATTTAATCAACAAATGGATGTTAATGCAAGACCACATCAGCATGAACTTCAAAATCAACCCGCTACTAGACGGGCTCTGCAAAAACTGTCTCATTCTCAACAATCAGCCCAATCTCAATCATCTCAACAACAAGAGAAACAATTGCAAAATCAATTTGCAGCAGTAGCTGTTGAACCCTCCGATTCCAATTCCTCTGGCAATACCTCAACCGGATATAGTAATAATCCAAGCACAAATATGTTCTAATCCCCTCCATTGGTATTTCAATATGGAATGACTGATGCTTTACCAATTTACGCCCGTAATGCCTTCATGTCAGAATACCTTAGTTTGTTTTCAATTAGTTTGTCTTTTCTTGTTCTCTATTTTGTTGTTCTACTACTCTTCTTTCAACCTGTATCTACTTTATTCACTTGTTCTTAGTTCCTCTACATTTATAGACAATACACTATTAATCTCCATACTCCCAAGCACCTGTAGTGATATATGTATGATGTTAAAGTAGTAATATCAAGGCATGATAATGGTTTATTGACCCCACCGCACTGCACGTGACACGCACCCGTGCACCAACAAAAAATTTACATCGGAGAGCTAGTTACCGACTTTAAATAAGGAAAAAAAACCATTGGGGGAATTAGCGGTGATCGAGATACTACTTCTAGGACCAATTAAACTACTAAAGAAGCGATAATGTCAGGGTTTAAGAAGTTTACTGATTTCTTGTTTTCCAAACAATCCTTGAGATATGTTTGTACTACTCATTTTTGGGGGCCGGTGTCGAATTTCGGGATTCCCGTTGCTGCGTTATTAGATTTGAAGAAGGATGCTGATTTAATTAGTGGACCAATGACTGGATCATTGATTATATATTCATTAGTATTTATGAGATACTCGATGGCAGTCACTCCACAAAACTATTTATTATTTGGATGTCATTTTGTAAACGAATTGGCTCAACTAGGTCAAGGATTTAGATGGCTCAATCATAATTACAATTCACCAAAAGCTATAACCAATGAAGAAAAGAAATGATTTCCACCTCTCCCTATTTATTTGAATTAATTATGCATTGAATAATTAACTTGTATTTTAGATTTCTTAATTTTTTTCGAAACTCTTATTTATAATCATATATATGCCAACTTTTAAATGTATCTATTCGTTAACTAATCGAAGATGGACTTTGGTTTCTCTGCTACTTGTGTAGGACCCAATAGTTGAGTTTGAATGGTATCGGAGGATTCCGAGGAATCTGACCCGTAGTCGGTATCATTCTGGTTATTTGTTTTTTGGCGTTTAGAAAGATCTAAGCTGGGAGTTCGACTTCTTTTACCATAAGTGACTCTTTGTTCTTGTGGTTCCGATTCCATTGGAGGTAATTCTCCATATATTAATGATCTGACAGATTCGTAATCAATCTTCTTACTAAATGGCTTGGATGTGATAAGTTCCCCTGGTGATGGAGTTTGCTCTGGTAATGGGGTTTCCTCTTTATTTGGAATGATGACTGAATGAGATGGTAGTGAGAATTTTGGTTTCTTATTAGATTCTAAATTATCATCACTTGTAATTTGAGTGTATTGAATCAATACATGGGGATAATTCTTCAATTCAAAGAGAATTGGATCACCAGGACTTTTGAAAAAAATTTCAAAATACGAATTGCCATCGGTTGAATGATCATCCGCCAAATCATATTTTAAATTGGCAAACCCGCCTATCAAATTCATGAAATTTTTGAAATCTTTCAATCTGAAATTTATTGATAACGTATTATCTTCAAGATTGAAATCAGTCAAGTTCGTATTTAGCAATTCGTCCAAGGTTATGGTATTTGTCACGGACATTGGTTGTTTCAAGTATTCTTTATCTTTTAAAACTTGTCTGGTGTACCCACACAACAGTAACTTACCGTGTTTAATTTCGATCTTGAAATCTTCCGTTGATGAAGATATCGAATCTAAAAACTGTTTGGGTATGATTTGTTCAATCATTATATATTTGATGGAATCTTGTAGGGTTTTTTCTTGTTGATCAAGTAGTTCTTGTTTGTATAGAGTGGCTATATTCAACTTATTGGAGACTACTGGTTGATAGCTTGTTTGATACCGCTTGATGATCCAATCTTTAGTTTTTATTTCGATAAGTAATTTATATTTAACCGAAGAATTTTTATCCCAATTAACTTTAAAGCAAATATATTCTAAATTCAGAGCATCTAAGTTCTTAAATAACACCGATAAGTGACGAGAATTAATCAAAAACGAGTAAGTGGACTGATTGATATCGTATTCGTCCTCATTGAACCCTTCACTAAGGATATTACCAAAATCAACCAAGTATTCGTGGAAGAAGCTTTGTTTAAAAGTGATCTCGGCATGAGTAATCTTAGCGGTATTTACTGCCAGTATTGATATGGATTCTCTCCCAACAACAAACTTAATATGTTCAGATATTGCCGCCAACGACAAGATCGACCTCGACCATATGACCTTATGTTTATCCGAGTCGATGGCTCCCACAAACGACATGCTTCATTTGTTGATGAAAGAAGTAGTAGTTGGAATCTCATCCAGGAAAAATTCAAAAGACCCAAAACCATGATCCCAACCAAGATGCTAACTAGGACTCCAGTAAGATACCAACTTGGCTTATTAGTCAAAGAGACTTTGAATGGAGCCTTAATGGGTTTCCCTTGAAGCTAGCGTTTCTTTTAGACTGCAAAGGCGTTTTTCCAATAGTGAACTGGTCCTTTCTCAGATTTGTCTCTTTTGCAACCAAATTTAATGTAGAGAAAGCAATACAACAGAAAGTCTCTGGACGTATAAAAGGTTGTAGGGGTATACTTTAAGGGGAATTGCAAGGGCCGTATTCAAAATTAGACAAGTAAGGATTTTGTAGATTTTTTACAAAATTTAGAATATTCAACCTTGACGACAAACTGCTTAAAGTTGTGAATGACATCCAGGTCCTACTACAGATCTGAAACCACTTACAATGATAGGTTGAATCTTCAGTTGTTTCTTCAAATTGAAACGAATTGAAGAGTTTAGAATTTTAACTAAGAATTTCAACTAAATAATTTCAACTAAATAATTTCAACTAAATAATTTCAACTAAATAATTTCAACTAAATAATTTCAACTAAATAATTTCAACTAAATAATTTCAACTAAAGAATAATTGGGGCTGAACATTACAGTGGCTAAGCCCAAGAAACCCAACCACTGCCAGCAATCCTTACCCATTGACGTTAGAATATCATTGCACCAGTGGTAATTACTGCAAATGCTCCAAACTCGGAGCACCCCGAATTTTTCAGCGTTTTTTCGTTGACTTCTTTAACTTATTCACTCTTTTCTCTTTACTCTTCACTCTTCTCTTCACTTCCTTCACTAATGTCGATCAAAATCCTCGTGGTCAATCCTAACTCCTCCCAGAAAGTTTCGGACAACTTGGCAAAAATCTTGAGTGCACCTCCACTGGTGGAGTTCACTTTTTATACTGGTCCAGCTTCAGCACCGAAAGAAATCAACGGGACTCAAACTTCAATTGAATCAGAACAGGTTGTTTTGCCAGACTTACTTGACAAGAACGTCATTGAGAAATACGATGGTTTCTTGATTTGCTGCTATTCGGATCATCATTTAATCCATTCTTTAGGGAAACACACCAAAAAGCCAATCTTGGGAATCATGCAAGCTACATTACTCTACAGTCTCCTGAATCCGTCCTTGCATAAGCTGTTCATACTCACCAGTGTGAGTGAATGGGAACCTCTTTTGGATCAAGCAATCATTGATTTTATTGGAACCAGTCAAGAGTTCCCTACTAAAAAATTCCAAAAAACCAAAGCACTCAATGTCAGTGTTTTAGACTTGAGCAACGAAGAGGAGTTTGCTAAAATCAAGAATCAAGTTGATCATTTTGTTAATGTAGAATATGCTAATGATCATATAGATTGCATTTTATTAGGTTGTGCCGGTATGGCTGGTCTTGACTCCAAATTGAGCCAGGCTTTCCCCCAAATTCAATTCATCGATAGTGTTAAAGTCGGAGTAGAGTTCCTTACTAGCATTATAAGGTTCAATAAGGAGAATATCCTTTCTTAAAATAGTATAATATAGCTATTTAATAGAAAATAAGACCCATACACCAGAATCTCGTAGATAAAAGGGCTAAATTTAAAGCCAAAAATGACAAATTTGACAATTTCAATAGTTTTTATAAGACAGTCATAGTTGATATCATGTCAATGAATCCATTTTACAGGGCAAGTGAGCCCAATGAAGATAGTAAACAACCCAGGAAAAGACCGTCATTTTTCAATAAGATACTAACGGGTAAGTCCAGGTCGGCATCCCCATCAGCATCTCCACCGCCGGTGGTTCCAGAGCCCCAAAGTTCAAGTGAACAATATGGCGATGAAAATACAGATGAGAGACCTATAAAACTACATGGGTATAAGCCCAACACCAAGCGTCGGTTAATGGATGAAGAATTGGCAAATAATATTCGAAATTTAATGCCCCCAAGATTACAACTTTATGATGATTGGGATTTAGTATATGATTTTGAGCAAGATGGTATAAGTTTGAATACTCTCTACCGGAATTCGAATCCAGAATACCAATTACAAAAACAGAAGAATGAAAAACAATCAAAAGGTTATGGAGATGGAGTTGTTAAATCAATGATTGTGGGTGATATCCAATCGTCCACCACTACGTCATTTTACGGTCTTGAGCGTAAAAGACCCCAAGGGTATGTTATGGTGATACAGGACGAGAAAAGAAATAAGTTTGGCTGCTATTTGAATACAAATTTAAGAGCCGTCGATAATAAACGTTATTATGGTAACGGAGAATGTTTTCTTTGGAAACTAGAAAAATATGATGCTTCCAAATTGAATCACGAGAAGGATTCAAAAAAGGGTTCAGAAAAGGATTCAGAAAAAGATTCAGAAAAAGATTCAGAAAAGGAAGATGCAAACCTCATTGATCTCGATGATCATCCTCCTACAGTGCCCAAACATAAACCAAGGTACGAATCAAGGTTTAAAGCCTTTATGTATACGGGAATGAATGATAATATAATATTCTCAAATCACGATTTCATTGCAATCGGATCATCCAATGGCCAAAACGGGTTATGGATCGATAAGTCTCTCTATAAAGGAGTCAGTTATCCATGTACTACTTTTGGGAATGAGATTTTGAACTTGCACAATTCTGACTCCTCAACTAAATTAGGAACGTTCAAGGTGATCGACTTGGAAGTTTGGAGAGTTGGTGCTTTAGAATAGAACCTTCGTAAAGCTAAGAGGGTAAGTTACAGGGCTATTTTTCATATCGTTTTTTTTTTTTTTTTTTTTTTTTTTTTTTTGGTTTTTTTTTTTTGGCTTTTTGGCTTCTTGTTTATCAGGTCTTCTTTCAATGATCCAATATCCTTTCTGATTCTATTTTTAAGTTGTTGACAGTACTTTAGAACTACATTTTCGGACAAGCTTGGCATCTTATAGACTAATATTGCATCCATTCTAGCTTAGAAGTAAGCAAATCGTAATACACTTTATTATATTTTCTTTTACACCATCCTCGTCATTCAATCGTCAGGAATCAACCCTTTCCTCTCGTAAACCTTGTAGCCATCGGAGACACGAGGTGTTCGTTTATGAAGTTTAAATCATGGAATCGATACCCAGCTTCCATTGACAAAACCCTGGTTTGAAAGGTAATTTTGGCCCCAGTAGATCAACCCTCTTTCTCTAACGCCTTCTCTCGCCAATAATCATAAGACTCTTTGTTTCAAAAGTAAATTTGACTATTCTTTTAAATCAGTAAATTAGGTTGGAGTTGCAGGGATGTACGGATGTTATTCTGGATATATTTTGCAAATTTGCATAAACGCCAATTGTAAAAGATTTAGACGACTTCTTTTTATATGACAAAGTCAAATACAAGTAAACACACCACCAAAATCAATGGATAGGAACAATTGGGGTTCGTAACGTGATCTGCAATGATAGGGGCATGCGCCCAACCAGTCTTTATGGGGGTGAGGAAGCTGAATTCTTGTCAAGGGCAGGCCAGCTGAAAGCATAGCTGCTAGCTGAAAAGCTGAAAATCCGGTTGAAAAGGTCTCCGAAGGCGCCGACTTGGGATTTAACTTCAGGCTTATGAAGTTGTTTCCTGAGCTAAGTTGAACCATGAAAAGTAAACATCTACAAGGCGTCAGGTAGTAGTATGAACACCCAAGGTTCCCCGCCCTTTTCAGTTGACTTAGCTCAAGACTGTTTTGATACCGGTAGTCGAGCTAGCAGCTCCATTTAGTGGAACAAAAGCCAAGCTGCTGACAAAATCAAAGTTAGAGAAATAAACAAAAATATAATGGAAAACAAACATGGCCCACCAATTCACATACCTCTTGCGAGAGGAAGCCACGGGAAAGCCCCGAGAAAGCCATGAGGAAGCCATGAGAAAGCCCAGCCATAGGCTCTAAATTGCCTTATGTCCATACTATCCCGAGAAGTCCTCAGACATTGAACGTTTTCTTCAAGTTTGTTCAAGCAAAAACCTTTTTTTTTGTTCCTTGCTTTGTTGTTTTTAACGAAATGTTGTTATCCCGTTCATTCGAGTATCCGTGGTCAAGTCTTTTCCAAGTATTTCTGGAGACAGTCAATGCATAGTTGGTCAAAGATCAATACTTAGCCGAATCAGATCCGTGTGCAGTATAATGTTAAATTTATAATAAAAATAGACTGCATAGCTGATCTGTGATATGCATGTCATTTATCGCGTTAGGCCTTACAATAGTGTTTTGAGGTTGAATCGCAAAATTTTTTTTGCAGCGACCAACGAGCTATTAACCTAAATCGACAATTAAGATTTCGTCAATTGGTGACTTTTATTTTTTTGTTATTCTTTCCATGGGTAAGGCGATTCATATCACAGAGTAACAAACAAATGGTGGATCATGTATCCGTCAAGCGTTATTTTTAGTTAATGAATAACTATTACGATGGCAATTAAGCCTCTGTATTATCGCCAGGTTCCTCCAGTATAGTTAGGGGTTGTTGGTTTTGAAAAACAACAAACAAAACAAAAAAAAAAACGACCTCGTGAAACCTTTGTTTCCATACCTTATTTTAAATATTTGTTCTTGATTATTTCGAAACATGTCCCTATATATATTGCTTTAATTCCTTGATTGAATTTTTTTCGTTCTGTTTTACTTCCTTGTCTAAACATCGAGTCTTGTCTAATTGTTTAAAACTCACCTAAGAGTCCAACTTCCCAACTTCACGTCATTCGCTTTCCTTTTTGTTGAAGTTATCACTCTTTTGAAGACTTTTGGATCATTATTTCCTTTCCTATTAAACAAACTTTCAGTCATTCCTTTCTACAGTTAATCAAGTATTCTTTACCATGAAATTTTCAACCGCCGTTGGTATGGCCGGTATCGCTTCTCTTGCGTCCGCTGCCTCCCTTAATTTCGAAGCCGATTCTGCTTCTAACCTTAACGCTAACTCAAAGGGCCTTGATGCCAACTCTGAATCTCACTCTGAAGGTTCTGCTAATGTTGGTAATGCTAATGCTGCTTTTGAATCAGACCGTGAATCTGATCTTTCTGTTAAAAACAGTGAAAGATCTTTTATTGAAGCTTCTGGTGGAGCCTCAAGCAGTTTCTCTTCTTCAAACAGCAAAGAATCAAGCTCTTTCCAAGCTTCTGGTGGTGCTTCTGGTAGTGTTTCTGCTTCCAACAGCAAAGAATCAAGCTCTTTAGAAGCTTCTCACGAAGCTCACGGTAGCATTTCTGCTTCCGATAGTGAAAACTCCAGCTCTTTACAAGCCTCCGGTGAAGAATCAGGTAGTATCTCTGCTTCCAGCAGCAAAGAATCAAGCTCTTTAGAAGCTTCCGGTGAAGCTCATGGTAGCGTTTCTGCTTCCAACAGCAAAGAATCAAGCTCCTTAGAAGCTTCTGGTGAAGCCTCTGGTAGTATCTCTGCCTCTAACAGCAAAAACTCTGGCTCTTTAGAAGCTTCTGGTGAACAATCAGGTAGCATCTCTGCTTCCAACAGCAAAGAATCAAGCTCTTTCGAAGCTTCTGGTGAAGCTTCTGGCAGTGTTTCTGCTTCCAACAGCAAAAACTCTGGCTCTTTAGAAGCCTCTGGTGAAGCTTCTGGTAGTGTTTCTGGTTCTAACAGCAAAGAATCAAGCTCTTTTGAAGCTTCTGGTGAAGCTCATGGTAGCGTCTCTGGTTCTTGGGGTGAAGATGCTTCAAGCGCTGCTGGTACTTCTACTGAATCTACTGCTTCTTACGCTCTTGGTACTCCTGAATACGTTTCAGCTTCAGCATCTTATGCTCTTGGTACTCCTGAATACGTCTCTGCTTCTTCTTCTGCTCCTGCTTGGTCTTCTGAAGAAGCTTCTTCAAGTGTTACCTTCTCTTCTGAACAAGGTCATGTTGTCACCAAAACTGCTGAATCTACCACCATGGTCACTGTTACCTCTTGTGGTCCATCTGGTTGTCACACTGACTCCCACCAAACTGGTGTTGATGTTGTTACCGTCACTACTGATGATGTTGTTACCTCATTCACTACTTACTGTCCATTAACTGAAACTAAATCTTATGGTTCTGAATCTACTTCTATTGCCATTCCATCATCTGTTGTTACTGCTCCAGCCTCATCCTCTGCTCCAGCCTCATCTGCTGCTGCTTCATCATCCGCTGTTGCTTCCTCATCTGCTGCTGCTTCATCATCCGCTGTTGCTTCCTCATCTGCTCCAGCTTCCTCATCTGTTGCTGCCTCCTCTTCTGAACAAGGTCATGTTACCACCAAAACTGCTGAATCTACCACCATGGTCACTGTTACCTCTTGTGGTCCATCTGGTTGTCACACTGACTCCCACCAAACTGGTGTTGATGTTGTTACCGTCACTACTGATGATGTTGTTACCTCATTCACTACTTACTGTCCATTAACTGAAACTAAATCTTACGGTTCTGAATCTTCTTCTGTTGCCATTCCATCATCTGTTGTTTCTGCTCCAGCTTCCTCATCTGCTGCTTCCTCATCTGCTGCTTCATCTGCTGCTTCCTCATCTGCTGCTTCATCTGCTGCTTCCTCATCTGCTGCTTCATCTGTTGCTTCCTCATCTGCTGCTCCATCTTCATCCGCTGCTCCATCATCTGCTGCTCCATCATCATCTGCTCCAGCTTCCGAAGGTCACTACACTACCGTTACTGCTACTGAATCTACTATGGTTACTGTCACCTCTTGTGGTCCATCTGGTTGTCACACCCACTCTCAACCAACAGGTGTTAACGTTGTTACCACCACTGTTGATGATGTTGAAACTTTATACACTACTTTCTGTCCATTAACTGAAACTAGACCAGTTGAAGGTACCAGTTCAGCTTCTTCTGAAGCCGCTTCATCTAGTGGTGATGTTACTTCTACTTCTACTGTTCAAGTTTACACTACTATCTACAGTGGATCTTCTGCTCCAGCCTCATCTGCTCCAGCTTCATCTGCTCCAGTCTCATCTGCTCCAGCTTCCTCTGCTCCAGCTTCTTCCGATGTCACTTCAACTCTTGAAACCTATAAGACTATTTCTGAATCTTCTTCAACTGCTCCTAAACCAACCTCAGTTGCTAAGACCTCTGAAGCTCCATCTTCTTCTGATTCTCTTACTGTTGAAACCGATACTAATGTTGAAACTGACTTTACCACTTACTGTCCAGAATCTCACACCTCTGCTCCAGTTATTTCTACCGGTCCAAGCTCTTACTTCAACACCTCTACTGCTTACACCAACACTTCTTCTGTTCCAGCTACCTCAAAACCAAGTGTTGTTCCAACTACTTTGAGTCACTCTACTAAAGCTCCAACCACTAAGACCCCAGCTAAACCAACCACTGAAGCTCCAGCTCCATCCACAAAAGCTCCAGTTACTTCTGCTCCAGTTTCATCTGCTCCAGCTCCAGGTCCATCTTCAGTTGATTCTACTTCTGTTGTTGAATCTACCTCTACTCTTCCATCTTCTTCTGCTGGTGTTTCAAGCTACGAAGCTGGTGCTGCTTCCAACCAATTATCAATGGCCGGTTTCATTTCTGCTATTGCAATGTTATTAGCTGTCTTCTAAGAAGTGGAGATTTAAGCTTTATTATTGTTTTTTCGACTATTTCTGTTTCTTTCAATTTAGAAAATCTTTGCCAAAGATGCTCTTTCTATTTCTTGCGTTAGAATTCAAGTGTGTTATTCATTTTTTCGGTTTCTCTTTGATAGTAAAAGTATTTACTCTATTTTAATTTAAATCTTCTTGTTGTCTTTATACCTATTTCAATTCTTATACTCTTTTATAAATTGTAACAATTTTTCTTAATGTACGTAATTACGTTCTTTTTTTTTTCTAATACCTGACTCTTGAATAGTGATAAGTAGTTGAATGAAATGAAAAAGCCTTTTTTTTTTTAAAATAATCTCCTTATAATCTTTTGATCTAGCTCTTAATTACAACCATAGCTTAAAAGTATATATAAATATATTGATTTTTAAATAAACCATACCGTTGAGGATGCCACTATACACAGGAATTAAATATTAGGATGCAAAAAAAAAATAGACTTAGTTATAATGAAATGAATAAATTATTGTTGAAATGAAAAACATGCTTCCTCTTGATGAGGGTAGAACTGAAGCAAAAGAAACTTTTTAAAAGAGGAAAAACAAAAGCCACCGTAACTGTCATAAAAAAGGGAAAAAGTATGTGATGATAAATAGCAAAAAAGCATACCAAAATGAAAGAAAAAAACCAAATCATTTTAGTATCGATTTTTACCAGAGGAGAGATATACTTTAAAGTCTTATATGTTGAAATCGACTTTAAGGATGTGCATGTTGAGTGCACTAAATATCCTGAGTTAGTGAAATAATAAGGAAAAACAAATAAAAGAAAAATATTGAAAAAATTAGGATTTGAAGACTTATTGTAAATCAGGTAAGTTCAATTCATTAATCAAATTGAAAACAGTTTGATTATCGTCAAAGAAATTATTGTTGACAAAATTACACAAGATAAAATCATCAGCAAAAGATTTCATGAGTTGAACAAAGTTATTAATCTTCTCTTGAGGGATATCGAGTTCTTTAACAACATTTTGACTTTGCAAGATTTTAACCCATTCATCAATAAGTCTGAAAGCTTCATCTTTCCAAGCTAAGAAAGAAGTTCTTTCGACAATTGTGGGTTGTAAAATTTCTTCACCAGGGAAAACACCCCAAGTAACAGCGTTGATATCACCATCTTTAGTATTAGAAAATAAATTACCTTCTTTATCAACAGAGTAATAAGTGATGGAGCCAGAACCAGCTGATTTATTGTAATTATCAACATTAGTTAATAAAGGTTTCAAAGTATCACGATGAACGAAAAATTCCAAATATTGTTTTTGATAAACATAACCATTTTTAGGACCCCAACCATAAATTTTATCGTTTGATTTGATAGCGTTTAAGGAAGGTTGAGAATTCAAAGTGAAGAAACCTTTTTTATTAATTTGAACTAAAGAATTGCTAATAACCTCAGTATCTTTACCAATAGCACCATCACACCAAGGTAAAGATTTCAAGTCACCATTAATATAAGAGATAACGAGTTCAGAAAAATCTTTCAATGATTGAGGATACCCCCATAACTCAATAGCCTTTTTAGGAGATTGTCTTAATAAATCGGTTGCAAATAAATCAATATCACCAAAAGCAGGAGAACGAGAATCCCCCCATCTACCATTTGGAAATTCATCCCAACCAGAAGTACGGCTAATATAAGAGTGCTTACGATTTTGCCAAAAGATTGGACGGATTGATTCCTTTGATCTTTGAGGATTTAAAGATTTACGCCATGGTAAAACATCACCACCAATAACATCATGGTCTTTAATGTATTCGACTAATTTCAAACGTTCTAAAATCATGATGGTGGCTCTTTCTAAATTCATAGTATAGAAATGCAAATGATTAACGTAACCTGACTTAATTAATTGATTACACATATCGGAAACCAATTCAGTCCCGCGTTCTCTTACCAAATAATCATCTTCTTTAATTGGATCTAAGGCATCCAAAAAATGTTGAGGAATAACAATTTGAGACCATTTAGCTCTTCTAATAAAAGCAGAATAAGTTGAAATTGGCATGATACCAGGAATAATTGGAATATTAATACCAATTTTACGAACTTGAGAACACCATTTAATGAAGTTTTCGGCATCGTAGAACATTTGGGTAATAATGAAATCAGCACCAGCATCACATTTCTCTTTCAAATACTTCAAGATCAATTGTTCATCAGTTTCTTCTGGATGTCCTTCTGGATAAGCAGCAACCCCAATATTGAAATGATCGCCATATTTATTACGAATATAATTGATCAAATCTTTGGCATACTTGAAATCACCAGTGCTTTCCGACCCATCCAATGGAGGATCACCTCTCAAGGCCAAAATATTCTGACATCCGGACTTATATGCTTTTTCCAAAGCTTCATCAATCAATTCCACCTTCATGTTAGTACAAGTCAAATGCATACATGTTTCAAGACCAAGGGCCCCCTGTGCAGTATAAACCATATCGTTAGTCAAAGTGGAGGAACGCCCACCGGCATTCCAGGTGATATCAATAAAGATCGGGTTCAAATCATACATTCTATCCATTCTATCGTATAAATTTTGAACCCCTTGGGACGTTTTGGGTACAAAAAATTCAAACGAAAAGGTGGCTGGGGGTGGCAGGGCCACTGAGTGGGCCTGCTCTAACTTTTCAGAGATCTTCATCTTCGAATTATGCTCTATATAATCGATTTAACTCGAAAAAATACTCAATACTAATAACCTTTGTATTGAAAATTTTAAATTATATACTGAAAGTACCGGAAAAAAACGTGTTGGGCCCAATTTTTAGACTCATAAAAATGATTCATAGTTAAAAATCGCGGAATCGGAGTTTTGTTCACGTTTTGTTGCGAAAGCGGCGGTTTCTGGTGCCATGTGAAAAATGCAGCCACTGGCGATTTTGCAGCTTAAACAGAAATATATACATTGGATGGTGGTTTATATAGGGTATATACGGGTTACAACTCATCGTGGGCATGTTCGCTGACGGGGCGGTCGCTGGAGTCGCTGACGGGGTGTTGTAAGGCGTGGATTTGGTCATCGTAGCTGGTCCATTCAGGAATCTGTCTTTTAGCACGATCGAGTTTATTCTCTTTTGTCAACGGGTTATTACATAGGTCCACTACTTTTGCGGAGGAGAATGTTTGGTCGGAGCACCAGGTCTCACACCATAGCCATTCTTGCGGCAAGCTTTTGATCTTGATCCATTTTTGCATGTTGTTGGGTAAATCTTGGTCCAAGTTGGATAAGGAGTTTGGATCGGAGGCTAGTCTATCGTAGTGGTTTCTGAGTCGATCACCAGCAGTTAATGCTCTGAAGTTGTTCAAGTCAACCACGTACAAGGCACTGATGTGGTAGTTCAATCCTCCTTGTAAGACTTGGGTCCAGTAGCCCAGTTTCCAGAAACGGAATCCTTCCATTTCTTCTCTTGAATCGCACATGGGGGTAAATCCGTATGGAGCACCTTCGAGATCAAAGTCAACTAATTCTGATAAATCGCTTCTCACAATCAGATCAGCATCAACGAAAATGACCTTGTCAAGGTCTTGCGGGAAAATAACGTCCAAAAATAAAATCTTGTAGCCCCAGATGGTTCTTTGTTTTTCACGTTGTTTTGTCAACCAAACTGGCCATTTATAAGTAATTAATTGGTATTCAACATCGTACTTCTGCGCTAATTTAGGAAGCAATTTTTTGAACTGTGGGCTAATGTAGTTGTCAATAATCCAAAACTTAACCAGCTTGTTGGTATGGGCTCGAACGGATGCAATCATAATCCCCATTAATCTTTCGTATAAATGTCCACTGGCTATACTGAAAACATTAATATCAGCCTGTTTTGGCTTAACCTCTTTCTTGCCAGAATTGATTAATGATCCGAACCATGATGAACCTTTAGTCTCGTCTTTATGTTCGAGTCCTCCGTTAGCAAGCTCAATAAGCAAGTTTTTATTTTCGTACCCCGGGTTCTTGGTCACTCTGACTGATAGCGTTTTACCATTCAAGTCAAAAACAGGCACTTGCACGCTCTTCAATGGGGTATCATTTGCAACGTATCTATTAGAAGATGCTGATAACAAAGAGCAATGTTTACTGCTGATACTATCTGACTTTATTGACAAAGTCCATATTCCGGCATCCGCTGGTAATTGGAAATAGCCATATGTTGCCATAACATTAGTATCAATTTTATCATTAGTAGATATCAATTCTAATTCTAACCCGGTTGTTGGAAATGCAATTCTCACATCATTAGCGTAACCTTCAACTAAGATATTTTTCAACTCGTAACTTCCTGAAATTTGGGTGTATTCGTAATTGGATAACTTAATGTTATCCAAGTCGACATTCTCAGGTGCAGTATCATGGCTTGTTATGATCCATTTATGAGGCCCATCAATATCCGTAGTGAATAATTGATCTTCTGGTAAGTTGGTAAAGTTGGCTTGATACTTAACATCAAAGTTCCCTTCACTATCAAATTGTGGTCTTGAAGCTGGGAAAACCCCTCGATAGAATCGTTTGATTGATACATCTTCATCGCTCTTCTCATTTGGTTGCAATAAAATTTTAATGTTAACAAATGGGAAATCAAGAATGGATCCAATCACGTTAACCAATTTTTGTGAATATTCTTCGGTAGGATCGATAATAAGCAAAATATCTATTGGTTTCTTGTTATCATAATCAACCACATCGATTGTGTTATTCATATTTAGCGAGGAAAAATCAAATCTGGCAACATCATCCAGGAGAATCAAGAAATCATCAACATAAAAACTCTTGGTGATAGAAGACAGAACAAGATCAAACCAGTCAATATTGTCTGACCCGGAATTTCTATTAAAGTCAAATAATGTTCTATAAGAAAAATCTTCTGGATATGCTTCTACCAAGTCTTTTATGATACTCAACCTTTGCTTAAACTCGTACTCGATCAAGGTTTGGAGTTCCTTTGCTTTGAAAATCTCAGTCAACCTAAAATACCTGGAATTGAAGATAAGTGAAGGTTGATGCAGTTGGAATTCGTTTTCTTCTAATAACTTGCTTACAGATTCTGACCTCAATGACTCCAGCGAGCCACTCTTATAATCTTTAATATAATCAATAAGATTTTTAGTGTTGCTTTTATTCAAGGGTTTGTTGCTGAATTTTTCTTGTAATTGATCAAGTAAGTCATTGTTTTGGGATGTGTTTATAACCCTTATTTGCATGGAGTTTGGAGATGAGCTTTTAGCAATAACCTTCAAGATAATTATGAACTGATCGATCAACTTTTTCTCGTTGAAATCACCAATTAACCAAAACGTTCCTGAAAGTTCTTTATTTTCAAGATCTTTTTTAAATCCAACTGATTTTTCATACATTTCGTTTGAAATCCTTTTATATAAAATATTAGCCGGGTCTTTTGGAATAACACGAAGGTTTCTTTCAGATTTTGCATTTTCATACAAGATATCTTTTAATTTTTTACCCTGATCAGTTTCTTGTCTTATATGATGTTGTAAAAGTCTGACATCTTGAGCAACTTGGTTCTTCATATCCTTTTGCCAAGTGCTTCCTTGCAAGTCATTTATGACACCATTGAAAATAACTGATGGAGAATCAATAGAAAATTTATGTAAAGTATCACGGAATTCGGCATAACTATGAATGTGATCTTCAGGAATATTGATAGTTTCGAAAAGAGCATTTTCTTCATCAACATTGGTGGTTTCGAAATATTTATACAAAAGAGCCAATGATTCTTTAGCAGAACCTTTTTCAGCAAGGAAGTAGAACAATTGAGCGAGTTTCTCATCTCTAGGATCAGAACCAATCAATGGTAAGATACCAATTTGTTTAGGAATACCACGATCCAAGAAGAATTTTGCCATAGCAAAGAAAACTTTCAATTGTTCCTTGTGGCTGAAGTTGATAACAAAAATAAGATCGTGAACATTTTCCTTTAATGCCGGAATTTGGCCATGGGGCATTTGATAAGCACCAGGCCCAATATACATTTCTTGCCTATTAGCAGAATAAAGCAGGTAACTACTTTCGGTTTCGATATTATTGAAGAAAAGGACACCACCTTTCTTATCTTTTGCATTGGGGACGAATTCGTGTTCGTACAACTTGAATCTGTTTTCATTATCACCCATAAGGGAGTTACCAGTTTTAAATTGGGATTCTTTAACTGCACTTAAGAGGGCAAATTTAGTTATTAATTTTTTTGCTTGAGGAATGGTAAAGCCATATTCTACTAATTCGTTGGAAACTTTCAATTCTGATTCAATCTGATGAACTAAAGTGGTTAAATCAAACTGTTCTTTTGGAATCGACAAACCATTTATGTAGATACCATTAGAATCTTCTGAAGCACCAATTTTTCTATTTTGCTCAATCACATCGTTTACAAAAGGGAACTGTTTCTGATTTTTCAATTTAGAGATATAGTAAGCATACTTTGGGAAATCATTAAGAACAGTTTTGAGCAAATCATATTTTTTTATAGCTTTATAGGAATTGGATTGTATAAATGTGACCAACTTTGAGCCGAGGTCTTTCAATTGGTCTTTAGTGATTGGATGTAAATCTGCATTACTCTGTGCAATTGCATTTAGATCATTTTCAAGTTTCAATTTTTTTGAGTTTGAAGTTTTTTTACTTGATTTTGCTTCTATTTCCTTGATATTACGGTCGTCAACGGCTAAGTAATCAGTTCTTTTCAAAGTCAAATCAACACCGTACCCACCGAGATACTCTGGACCAAGATCTTGGGTTGGAATGTATCTCCACACAAATCTCAACTTGCCTTCTTTAGCACTCAAATACATATTTTCAAACATGCTTATAAAAGAGTCGGAGTTGATATCACCGTAAAGCACTAAAAGCGGAGCTTCCCCATTTGCGCCAATCACTCTATCGAACGGCAAGATTTCTTCGTTCAGAGACTTAGAGTCAGTTTGTAAGGCATAAAGCTCATCAGGAGAGCAATATATCTTATCATTGTATTGCACCCACGATGGAAACTTGCCATCCTTGACCCCGTCGACTTCATTACCAAACGAGTCAACGGAACAACTTTCAGTCAACTTGCCTTGGTACTTAGGCATCACAACATCATTATAGTATTTGAACTGTGCTTGAACCCTTGGACTATAGATCTTATTGACTAGATTAAAATTGACAAATGATTCTTGAATGCTATCTAGATTCAAGCTTCTAAGAACTTCATCGTATATAGCGGCATCGCTGATTTCATTTCCACCGTCAACGTCAGGCTCGCGGTCATCATCAGAATCGTTGGAGTCTACAAACCCAATGATCCTTGGCAAAACCTGGAGGTAAAGCGATTCATTACGGGATGCAACACTCTCGAGCAAGTTCAACTTGAAAGGAATTTGGGCCCAAGACGCTTGTAAGTCAATTCCAAAATTGTTGTTGTCTTCAGTATTCTCTTTACTAGCGCTGACAACAACAGCTAGACTGAACACCACCACTCTCCAAAGAAACGTATACATCTTGGGTACGATCTTGCTAGGGAATGAAGAGTTCTTACCTTTTGCTGCCAACTTCTGGAAAACACGTCTGCTTTTAGTTGATGCTCTGCTTACTTGGTGTACGGACGTGGAAAATGTTTTAAAAAAAAGATAAACAAAAAGGTAAACCCAGGGTTTGGGAAGATATCAATTCTTTTCTTCAATTAACTTCTGTTAGAGGAGCTGCTCCCAAAATATGCCCGTGACGAATCAAGTGCACCTTGGAGAGATCCCTGGTGTCAATTCCAGAGATAAGGGGAGAGAAGAAGACGAAAGTGAGGTGGGGGCCAATTCCTCTGATGAAATTAGTTTGGGACTTTCATCTGGCAGTGAAGATGAATTGGCGCTGATTGAAGATGAAGACGATGAAGACGAAGAAGAGGAAGGGACGAATAAGGCTAAACGACCTACCAGGGCGAGAAATCCCGCAACATCTACGTATCAAGATGATTTATTGGACGGTATAGACTTTCAACTTTCCGATGATAGTTTTGATGACCTGGATGGACAAGTGCTATTCACGTCATCTTCTGATGAGTATCAAGATAATGAGGAAGCGGAGGATGATTTGGATGAAAATTACGACTTCAAAGAAGCGCTTCGGTTGGCAGGTAATTTCCGATCGAAAAAGAAGAAGAACGTCAAAACCAAGTCGTATTGGAAAAGGAAAATGATGAGAACCACCAATAGAGAGTTGGATCCCGAAGTCAGAATGCATTTGTCCCAAGCAAATGAAGCGTTTGTCCGACAAGACTTTCAGCTGGCGTTGAATTCGTATCTTGAAGTTATCAAGAAGGATCCTAAGAATTTTAATGCGTATAAAACATTGGGTGAAATCTATAAATCACAAGGAAGACTACATGAGTGTTGTAACTATTGGTTACTAGCGGCTAATATTCACCCGTGGGATAGTCAATTTTGGTCTAATGTGGCAGAATTGAGTAGTGAATTGGGGTATATTGATCAGGCCATATATTGTTATACGCGTGCTATTTCGGCAGACTCTAATAAACGGCCTGAATTCATCCTAGAAAGAGCTATATTATATAAGGAAAAGAAACAATATGGTCGTGCTTTAGAAGGATTCCAAAAGATACATTCACTTTTCCCCACTGATTCAAATATCATTAAAAATTTGGCTAGTGTTTACTTGGAACAAAAAAGAGTTAATGATGCCATAAACTTATATATGAGCATATTGGATCAAAACATGCGCCCTTCGGAGTCAACTGAATCTCAGGTTCCCTCTTTTGATTGGGCAGAACTTAATATTTTATGTGAACTTTATTTGAGCCAACATGCCTATGTAGTAGGTATAAAAATTCTCAAATTAGTTGCAAGATGGTTACAAGATAGAAGTGATGAAAAATGGTGGGATGAGCAAGATAACGATATCGAATTTGATAGAAGAAGATTTACGGTCATTAAGCAAAGATCAGCTACAGACCAAGAAGCAGCTCAAGATAAAGAATTTGATTTACCCATTGATATAAGATTTAAATTGGGTGTTTTAAGACTTGGATTGGATCAAAAAGAAGAAGCAATGTTTCATTTCGACTATTTGAGAGATGAAGAAGAAATTGCTGATTTACTATTTGAAGCCGGTAAAGCTTTAGAAGCACAAGGTTATAACGAAGATGCAATAGAGTTTTTAAATAAAGCCTATGATGATGAAGAACAAAGATCAACCGAATTGCTCGAGCTTATGGGGAAATGTAATTTAGAAATGGGTGAATATCAACAAGCAAAAGAGATATACACTTCTTTAGCTGAGGTTTTACCAGAAAGTTTAGATATTAAACTTGCCCTCATTGAAGCGCTGTACCATTTGGGTGATGTGGAAGAAGCCGGGGTACTTTTGGAACGTGTATCGGCAATGGCCAAAGATACTGAAAAGGAAGGTATAAAAGACACCCTGGGAGATGACGAGGAACCACTACCTCTTATCAACAATACTCAATTAATACGATCCGCCAGAAGTGCCAAACTCACCGAGGATGAGAGAATCGATATTGAAAATAATGCAAAAAGAAGAGTACTTGAAAAATTCCATCGTATGCAACGATTACAACCTGCTATTGATACCCATGACCGAGTTGCGGTAATGGCATGGATCAAACTTGCCGCACAGTTAGTTGAAATGTTTATGAGTGTACGTAGCTTCTTTCCTAGAGATAAAAATCGGTTATTCAAAGGGATCATTTTATATAAAAGAAAAAAACAAATGGGGATCAATGATAAACTTGCCCGTGTTTATAACTTATATGAAGGGATGACGGCTCCTGATAACATCAGACATGAACTTACTTCTGTGACTGAATATCGAGGGTTAAGTTATGATGAATGGTTTTTCATATTTGTACAATACGCAATCTTATTACATCAATACGAGGAAAATATTGAAATCGCCATTCAAACCATAGAGATTGCCCAAGGGGTAAGTGTCTTCGTTCAGGATAAAAAGAAAAGTAATATCATGAAATTAATTCGATTAATGTTTTCAATTAACCAGGATGACGCTACTGGAATAGCAGTTCATGTTAGACATTTCTTATCTGTCAATCAATTTTCTCCCTTTATGTATAAATTTTTCATGTGTTGTTTTAGTTCAGGATCAAAAAGATGGGCTTCTTATACTAGTTATCTTCACCAAAAGTTTTTCTTAAGACAAGTGAAGGCATTTGATTCTATTTTGAAAAATACCAAAATTACCGGTATGGCCACCATCACAGCAGATGTCAAGAATGTTAATTTGAAAAAAGATAACTTGGAAGTGCTTTATACATACGCTACGCTTTTCGGTGGGAGCAGAAGTCATGTTTCCGAAGTAATTTATGCTAATCGTGCCTACCAAAACTATCACCAGGATCCTACTGTATGCTTGATATTGGGTATTTCTCATGTTCACCGTTCCATGCAAAGATTAAGTACAAACCGTCATCTCCAATTACTCCAAGGTATTAGTTACCTCTTGGAATACAGATCCCACCGTCTCGCCAATGCCACAAATTACGAGCGTCAAGAAGTTGAATTCAACTTTGGACGTCTTTTCCAAATGATTGGCTTACCATCTCTTGCGGTCAAGTTTTACGATAAAGTTCTTTCTTTCCATGATAAACTTGAAGATTCTAAATACGATTTACTGATGGAAGCAGCCCACAATTTGTCTTTAATCTACACCATTAGTGGTAACACTGCTTTGGCAAGAGAAATCACCGTCAAGTATCTAACCATTTGAGTATCTTCATTTGTATATTAGTTAACTGTATAATTATTACAATTTTTCACGAATTGGCTGTAAAATGAAGTTTTTTTGTTTTTTTTTTTTTTGCGAGAAGTGAAAAACTCAAAGCAAAAGCTACTCGAAGCTCTTCACAAGACTTAACCAGATTTTTAGTAAGGTATGGTCAGACTCAAGCAGAGATACATTCTCTTCGATATCCTTTATCCACCCAAAGCAGAGCCTCGAAACTCTTCTGAGCGAGAAGTTTTTGAGAGTTTCCATAAATCCCCAGAAGATGCCTTATTACGAATGCATCGGTCATCACCACAATCGATTGATGGGAAGTCGATTATCCGAGCAACAAGGAAGGCTATACAAGACCATTACGGCGAGTTTGGAGCTGGGGCTGTTGGACAGGGACTTATGATGAAATATTTCAGTAACAAGACCTCTACCGGGATTATACGATGTGGTAGACAATCATGTCCTATGGTGGTTGCCTCGTTGGCTTTAATCAATTGTATTGGGAAAGAAGATATTATTATCAGATGTGTTCATATAAGCGGTACAATAAAGAAGTGTGAAGAGTTTCTGATTGCTCGAAACAAAGAACTCATGATTAAATTAGGGCATTTACAAGATGACAAAAATGAGTTTAATAATATACTCAATGCATTCCAAAACACCGGTGATGATTTTGCTAATGTGAAGGACAATTCTGAAGATGAAGATGAAGATTAAACGATGTGAATTGATATAGATATATATAGGATTTAATGAAACTTTTTTAATGACTAGATACAAATGATAGTACTTTTCTCTTAAACATTATTGCGAAATGATCAACTGCTTTCATAAGTTTGCCGTCAACTTCAATCTCAAAGGACGAAAGCTCTACAGAATAAGGTATCACTAAGTTCAAGACCCCCGCGGGAGAAGTGATCATATTGAAAAGAAAGTTGTAAGTGACTGAAGTGTTCAGAACAAACCAGATCTCTTCGATGGTCCAATCCTCGGACTTGTTTTCCACCTTACCTAAGTTTGAAGTTATAAGACTTGCCTTTCCCACATCCGAGCCAATTAATGAGTAGTACAATTTGAGTAAGTTCTGATAACTCAAGCACCAGGAGCTTTTAAAAGTTTCTCTCGAAATGAGATTTTCAGCCATCTTCATATAGGTATGACGGATGAGTGTTATAATATTCGATTCGGAGTAATCAACGGTTGGCGGTAAACGAAAAGCCTGTGCCAGGACAGTAGGACTATAATTGAAATTTGCAGCAAACTCAGGAAAATATCTCCGTCCATTTATAGCGATCAACGACAAAGTATGGTAGTCTGGATTCCTGAATCGGTTATAAAAGTGACTCTCCAAACAGTTAATACCCACGCAGTGGAAGAAGGGGGTCAATGTGAAGTTTTGCAGCCGGCAGAACTCGGTGATTCTCCTAACCTCATCCTGTTCAAATCTAACGATCTTGAATTTGCTACTGGTATCTTTGGTGATTGGTATTCCAGTACTGATCAAGCTGGTTCTTTTGAAAAATGATGGAATGAAGGAGACAAGTACATCATACAATCTTTGTAAGATCTTTCCAGAAAACGACGGACTAAATAAGTCAGTCTTCAACTCTGTACACAATGGCACTCTTTCAGGTAGCCTCACGGCATCTTGAGAGTACTCAAACAAAGTTCCCACCATCGAGTCGGCTTCCTTGACGTAAGACAACTCTTTCACCAAATCCCGAAGAAATTCAACGGAAGCAAGACCATCGAATATAGTATGGTCAAAGCATCCACAAACATACTGTTCTCCAGAGTCTCTCACAGTATAAACAACTATTCGCCAAAGTGGTAGAGTAGTACTATCCAAGGGTAATCTTTGCTTGTCCATTTTCTCCAACAAGTCCTCGTTGAAGGACGGAACTGTTTCAAAGCTCACCACGTTCAAAAACTTGATCTCATTAATAAACCTGGCTTCATAATCCTCCGGCCTGACCTGGTAGCTGGTTTTCAGTCGAGAGAAGTAGTTAACCACCAACCATGGGTTCTGCAAAATCATCGATCTAACAGCATTAGATAATACTTCAGCACTCACTAGATGATTGAGTCGAGTTACGACCCCAACATTCGTATAGATAGAATGCACATTTCTTCCTATGAAGTATCGCTCGAAGAACCCAACGTCTCTCCTATGAGACTCCCTGACCGACATTGTAGAGCTTATCATCTTCTTGTGGGATCAAGCGATATCTTAATCTGGGGAAATCACCGAGATTCGATCGAAAGACTGTTTAAGCGCATACCCCAAAATGCAACTAAAATACTCAAGTTTGCGGTATTAACCTCAACTGATGAAGATTAGATCAACAGATGAGTATTTCTTAATGGGAAGAGGAAAAACCTCAATTGAAACAACTGACAGTGGTTAGGCAAAGCGTGAAAATGGTAGTTGACTATTCGGTGTATTTGGTGACGGACTCTACGATGATTCCTGAATCATCGACTTTTTTGAGACAAGTTGAAGAATCAATTGAAAATGGTGCAACCATAGTCCAATTACGTGAAAAGACTTTGGGAACTCGGGAATTCATTGCCAGGGCTTCCAAAGTCCATGAACTTACGAAGAAGAAGGGCATTCCGCTTATTATCAATGATCGAGTTGACGTTGCATTGGCAGTTGATGCTGAAGGTATTCATGTCGGGCAAGATGACATGCCTGCTGCTACAGTGAGAGAGTTGATCGGTCCTGATAAGATAATTGGTGTTACTTGCTCGAATGTTGAAGAAACACAGCAAGTATGTGACGAAGGCATTGCTGATTATGTGGGATTGGGTACGGTTTATTTCACTAATACCAAAAAAGATACCAAAACTCCCCAGGGAACTGGGCCAATTGGGGTTAGAAAAATGTTGCAGGTATTGAGAAAACATAATACCAGTAAGAGTAACAAGTCTATCAGAAGTGTGGCAATCGGTGGTATTAACCAGACAAATGCAGCTAAAGTGTTATATCAGTGTGCTATTCCTCAACAAAGCTTAGATGGGGTGGCTATTGTCTCGTGTATTATGGCCAGTGAGGATGCCGCTGGTTCCACCATTGAATTGGCAGAAGTAATAAACCTGACGGTCCCATGGATAAGAAAGTTTTCCAATGGTGGTCCTGCTAAACTTGAAGATAAAGTTGCAGCCGTGCAGAACGCCAAACCTTTGGTTCACCATATAACCAACAATGTTGTGAAGAACTTCAGTGCCAACGTGACCTTGGCCATTGGTGCATCTCCAATTATGTCTGAGTTGGCACAAGAGTATGAGGAGTTTGCCACAAATATCCCAAATCTATCTCTCGTGGTAAATTTAGGAACTCCCAGTGATGATTTAATGCTGACCTTCGTTCATGCTTTACAAATTTACAACAAATATGGTAAATACATTGTATTTGATCCTGTTGCTGGAGGTGCAACCAATGCCCGTCTTGAAGCATGCCGGAAGTTATTGAATGCCGGCCAGCCTAGTGTAATCAAAGGAAATGTGGGAGAAATACTGGCTATTTGGAAATTAACTAGTAGTTATCAAGTTGATTCTGACTCAGCGGGTCAAAGCTTGATGCGTGGAGTTGATTCAATCGCTGATTTAGAAGACGACGTTGTAATCAGAATAGGTCAAGAAGTTGCCCAAGACTTCAGAACAGTGGTGGTGATTACTGGTAAAACAAACTTTGTTATAGACGGTACTTACGCTGAATCCAAATCTACATATATATGGGATGTTAAGGCTCCGATAAGGGCAAGTGAGTTACCGGTTACTAAAATTCAAGGTGGTCACCCATTAATGGGATCAATCACAGGATCTGGCTGCTCATTAGGTAGTACCATTGCTGCATTCATAGCGTCGCATGCAGATGGCCAATCAAAGGATACCAATGAAAGTTTCAATATAGGAGAAGCTGTTGTGGGTGCAGTTGAACTATATAATAAAGCCGGTGAGTTGGCTGGGAAAGAAACCAGTACTCCAGGAGCTTTTATGGTGAAATTTTTGGATAAATTATACGAATTGACTCATACATAATAAATCTACTTAAATGAATAATTCGTCACCCCGATACATGTACCTGAGATCAGCCAGGCTTTTAGTTGCAACTAAATGACGGGCTGGGAACCCATTCAAGGACTCTGCGTAGGAACCTAAGGTATTAAAAATCAATTTTGAGTTAGTTTCCCAAGCATTGTAATTCAAGTTTTGTAGATTGTCACAGGTCTGATGATAGCATTGATCAAAACTTTCATTAGCAACTCCGCCAAACATCTCCATTTCTTCTAACAGTTTTAATTTTTCTGCCCCGGTTGCTATACCACCGACTGGGATCGACTGTTGAGCAAAGCCAACGTAGTCCAGTCTACCATCCATGGGAATAAAAGTATAATTCAACCCATGCAGAGCGTACCATTCTGAATATTTATTTTTAATTTGTTGAGAACCAACTGGATCAACCAAATCGTCACCTTCGTAGATTTCAAAAGCATAGTTGGGCAGAGCAAGCATATCGTAGTCTAGCATTAGTCTGATTTTCAAATTCTCCTTTTCAGTTAGACTATCAGCATAGAACGAAGATCCAATTAGCCCAACTTCTTCTGCAGAAAACCAGATAAGACGAATTGAGTTTTCTGTTTGGATATTATTTTCTGCTAATGTTTGAGCCAAGTGTAATAGCGTGATTGACCCAGACCCGTTATCATTGATTCCAGGACCCGCTTCTACTGAGTCCAGATGGGAACCTAGTAAAACTATATTGTCATGATCTCCTGTTTTAGTTTCGGCAATGATATTTCTTGTTTCAATTTTTTCAAATGCAGAATCCATAAAAAACGATACTTCTGATACGGAGTTGACTAATTTTAAACCATCTTCAAGCGACATGCCAAATGTAGGAACCAAACCCCCAACTTCGTCATTACCTCTGGTAAGGGTTCCTTTTAACCCTTCCCCGGGGACCGAATTGTATATTACCAAACCGGCAGCATCAAAGCTTTTCGCCAACTGGGCCTTTCTTTCAAAAGTGCATCCCCCTCTTTGAGCCACCGCTAAGCAGCCCTTAATGTCTATGTCAATATAATCATTTTCCTCGCATCCAAGTTCGACTGCCACTGCCCTGGCAGTTACATTGCCGGTAGCAGGACTATAATAGAACGCAGAAGCATTCACTGCTTGTCCATCCACTGATACCTGATAGTCCCTAATAGAATTAAAGGTCACGTTAAACGTCTGAGAGGAAATATCGTAAAACCCTTGATGTTCTCGAAGGAGCCTGGTGATATAATGTAACGTCCCTTCATGGCCTATGCTTCCAATTGCTCTAGTATTATTTGAGAGCGATGCAATGTGGAACAAGTGCTCTGCCTTGAGTCGAAGATCCACAACGTTCACTTTCGCTTCTAACTCCTCTGCCAAAGACCCCAAGGTGACGCTAGCCAGAGCCAAACACCAGCACCAATATACGAGTCTCATTAGTACTTCTGTTATGCTGGCTTTTGTAAAGTTGCAAAATCTAAAATGCTGGTATAGGTTGCAAATCCAAACTGTAAAAAAGGTATCCCAACCAGCAAAACACGCTCATCTCATTTTGCAGGTTATTCCCCATATAAAGTAAGATAAACAGAAAAGTATAAGCAGGGTGAAATTGGCACCGACCAAACCTATTTGGAAGAGCTTAAGGGTTTAAGCTAGCCTTGAGATTGGTATTCGATTGTATTATTTTCCGTTTTGATAGTTTTGAAAGACACCAGGAGATGGTAAGACCAGCGAGATCTGAACGGCCCAAGATAAGGGGTTCAAATAAACCAGCTGCAAGAAAACCCCCAGTTTCTCGAATAAGTCAGATAGGACTGTTGAAGAAGTTTGAAGATAAGGAGTATGCCGAGTCATTATTGCACGAGGTGGCCAAAATGGTGGCACCTATTATACATGAGAACAATTTTCGAGTTGGGGTTCTTTGTGAAATGTATCCTAAGAATCCTAACTTATTGGGGTTGAATGTTAATCGAGGGTCCAAGATCTTGATACGGCTTCGATATGCTTCTAACTCCAGGCTGTTTTATCCTATTGGAGATATAGTGGGGACGTTTCTCCATGAATTGACGCATAATATATACGGACCTCATAACGATAAATTCTATAAATTTTTAGATGGGTTAAGAAAACGGTTTGAGGAGATACAGTATAGTTCCGGCAGTCTAATTGGGAACTATGTAATGGTGGAAGAAAAACTAGGAGGCAACAGAGGAAGATTTTACAAGTCTATTAATGACCGTCGTTTGGAAAAACTAGGACAAGGAAAATTCAAGGCCGAAGTTCGAAAACTAGGTACGTTGGCAGGAGGAACTACGATTCAAAACGGGAACCGGGTGGTCAAACCACCCAAGTCCGCACAAGGAATACGGGACTTGGTCCTACAAGCTGCAGAAAGAAGAATGAAGGATTCCAAATGGTGTGGAGAGTCCACGCAAGAGCCATCCAATAGCGAATTAGATATTGTTGAAATAGACGACATAAATGAAGACAAGGAGAATAAAAAGTTCAACGAATACAAGGAAGTGATTGACTTGACGTCAGAAGAAGAAGGTCTTCCCCAAGAAGAAGAAGAAGACGTCATTGTCATTGATGCTTGTGAAAAAGATAATACCGGTCTTCTACCTTCGTTCAGCGAAGGCAACGATTTCAAAGCTTCAACGTCCCCTTTGATGCAATCAAAAAAAGATAAACCTCAGCAAGACGAAGTACAGTATACTTTCCAGTCGTCTCCCGGACGAAACTTCATAAACGATCAAAACGACCAATATCCAAGGCGGAAACTAGTGGCCGAACTCGACTTTGACCAAATCATTAAAAAGGGTAAAACTACAAAACCCAAATCCCACAAGCCCAAGTCCAAGTCAAAGAAACAACGGAACAAGGTTGCTAAAACTGCCAAACCGGATAATTTTACTCCTAAAGATAAGCCCTCGTCCCCCGAAGCTTCACCGGCCGCCTTGAAAAAAACCGTGCGCTCGGTGGACTTCGACGAATTGCTCAAGTACCAGTTGCACTAGACTAGCCCAATAAACAGCTCCCATCAACATCAATCGTTGTAGCCGTAGCCGTACTTGGTTGCACCCTGCCAAACAATCGAAACAGAGGAAAAAAAAGACCCAAACCTCCAAACGGGAAGCCCGACAGAAAAAAAAGATCAATTGATCAACAACTTCTCCTTGCCACCAAACTTATCTGCTTTGATTCTAGAAACAACGTATAAGGAAAGACATTGTTTGCTGTGAATCTTGATACAATCTGCCAATAGTTTAAGTTTGTTTTTTTTTTTTTTTTTGGCTCTTGGTTCCATTCCTTTTTATTATTTGACACGTCAAAGTTCCCTGATAAACTTTTGCATTAACTAGCATACCATCAACCCAATAGTATAAATACAGCGATGGTATCCCAGATCAACTCCAAATCACGTGCGGCATTATTGAATTCTGGTACTTCGACCCCAAGCAACGGCTCAGTTCCCAGTACGCCTAATAGCGAAGAGCAGGCCCCATTAAGAAGACGGATTCTTTCTAGTTCCAGTTTCAAGACCATGCTTCTGTCAGTGTCGAGTTCGGGGACCTCTACCCCTCGAGGCATGGAGAAGACCGACTCTGTTATCAACTTGACCAAACCTTCGTTGTACGGAATATATAACGACAATTCGGTATTGAATTTGAATAGAGACGATGAAGACGGGAATGACTTACCACCGCAGGGGGAACCACAACCGGAGGAGAAACCGCAGGAAGAAGCAGCAGCACAGTTGAGTGTTTTCACCGGGTTGGCGTTGATCTTCAAGATCATCGTCCTTACTGGGTCGGCCTACGTGTATAATGAGGTTACTGATCACGTACATGCCAACCATATCAGTGTGAATAACCAGACCATGGAACCTATTATTTTCACCCAGTGGTTTTTGTATGATTTTGTTCGTCGTTTGAGTCCCTTGAATTATTTGGTTAAGACAGCTGACAGTCCGCAAACTTTGGAAGTGACTGACCGGATTGTTTCCTTAGCCATCCAAGGGTTGATTATGAGTGCTGTTTATCCTATAATGGATTACATTTTACCAACCGTGTTAACCAAACGATTATTATCGTCCAATCCTAATCCGCTCAACAACGCTACTTTAACTAACGATTTACTAAGAGCCTTGATTACATTTTTAGGAATCTCTTATGCCATTCGTAAAATTGAATGGAACTCTACTTTACAAATATCAATCATTTGGTCGTTGCTCAACCCCGGGTTATGGTTGTTGTTGGACGGCACCATAAGCGGCTTTTTATCCAGTTTATCCAGTGCCTTCATTGCCTGCATCACCATTTACTTTCAAAACGTCGATATCATCAACCGTATTCTGGCCAGTGATAACGGCTGGGAAAAGTCGGTGGGCATCTGGCTCTGGGTCGGTAGTTTCTTCTTCTGTGGGTTGATTCTTTTCGGTAAGTTGGGCAGAGCGTTATTCCCCGTCTACAAGCATTGACTCTATTTCTAGATACTTTATTAAACTGATTCTATACTAAACTAATCTTATATATTAATATATTAATACCGTGATGTATTGTGATGTATGGGTGTAAATAAATATTGTTGGTGTGCGGATGTTTTCCGGGATTACACTCAAAGTTTGCTGATTGGCTGAAAAACTTGAAAGAAAAAAAAAGTATTCAAACGGAGAGAAATGAAAAGAGACTAATTAATTCTTCTTTAGTAGAAACAAGAGTCATGTCTGGAGGTCCAGTTCCTGTTTGGAAGAAATATACTACCGGATCCACTGGGATCTGGGAAAAATTCAGAAGAGTATTCACATTAGTACCAAATAGATCTAGTGGTAATCCAATTCCTTATTTATACCGTCAATCTCCGCCAGGAGATCGTATCAAAGATGCCAAAAACTATAAGGATCCAGTAACCATTCCAGCCGGGGATATCAAGGGTAATCCATACTACAAGAGAGATTACAGAAGAAACTATCCTAGAGTTGTTGGATTTAATCAAACCAAAGTTAGTGGATTATTGCAATTAGGTTCTGCTGCCAATCCAAGAATCTCTGTTGGAGATAAAGGTACTAAAGAATTACAAGCATACAATACTCCCGATCAAGTTGTTAGTTTATCCTCTACATTAACCGATATTGATCCCAAAATAGTCAAGGGAGAAATATTGGGAAGCGAAGGAGAACCAATTGTTGCTCCATCGTTAAACAAATTCCATTGGACCATCTTGAGAGAACCACAACATGGGATGTTTGCTGACAACTACCCATGTCGTATTTTCACCGATGTTAGAAAATAATCAAACATTCTGTTAATTTCTGCATTTTGTATTCTATATTAGATATATTCACTATTTATTTCAAAAAAAAAGTAAATCACAAACTAGTTCATGAATACTTTCTCAAAGTTATTGTAGGTAATAGCAGCGATATTCCATAAGTAGCAAACCATAGTTTCAAGTACTGTAAAGGAGTTTCAAGTTTGAATTGATTCATGGTGTGCAAGGTTTCACAAGGATGAATCCACCACCATAGATCTAGGTTAAGTAAAGGATGCGGGTTAGTAGTGGCAAGTTTACCAGGAGGAGGTTTGGCTAGTTCTTGCTTATCAAATAGTCTAAAATGAAATACTGGAACCATATAAAAATCGTCGTACGAGATTGTGAATTGAATCTTATCATCCCCGAATTCTGCTTCTACGAAACTTAGCTTTTTATCGTTGATACTTTTGATATAATTGTTGGTGATTTTGAATATATGTTCTGAGCAGTGTAAGTTACTTATAATATCATCATTGAACCCTTCAATGTTTGCATTGAAGGTGGAATTGTCTATTATCATAACGAGATTACGGAAAAGAAGAGTAGCAAAAAAAAAATTGAAAAAATTCATCTTGCGATTCAAATCTACATCGAAACCTATAAATGAAACATATATTACGTCAATTCATCAGAAAAGTAAACCGATTACCACCACCGATATATACAATATTAAAAAAAGGAGAAAAAAACTCAGTATAAACCGGGCAATTTGCCATATTTCAGGGACCTTCTTACAACAACAGAACCATAACTCAATTTCTTTTATCTTCTTCTTCATTCGGGGTTGATTCATTCAATAAACTCAGTTTCCCATTATACATAATCCCAGCATTGCTCCCACTAATAGAGTTTCGATTATATATTTCCTTGACTTTTTCGGCATTTGGATGTTTTAAAGGCACTCCACCGGGAACTGAACTCTTAACGTTTTCTCCACCCAACTGCTTTTGCATAGCATAATCACCACTGTCAAAATACTTCTTATCTTGAAATTTAGATGACAAAATTTGCTGAGTAGTAGGTAATTTCCCATACATCTTATAAATTCGAAGCTCTTGGGGAGACAATTTGGACAAATCAAGGTTCTGGGTGTTTTTGGGTGGACCCAAGGGGTCATCTTCGTGCATAGACATCTTGGACAATTGATTGTACTGATGATTAATAAGATGCTTTCATCTATTAATGAACAAGTCTTTAGATTACGCTTTCAATTTTTTGTTCTGGGGGCCACGACGATTGGTGCGGGAACGACCATCAATGAACGCACACACACACCCGTACATCAGTAGAAGAGATGGCTAGCCACGGCAGGAACAGCAGGGCCAATTAGGATGAGTAGGTCTACCAAGTAGACGACGTAGTCGTAGAGCTCCAAGGGGATGGGGACGAGTTTGTTCGGGAGCTTGTTTACGAATAAGTTGAAGCGTAGAGTGTCCGGAAGGTTGCTGGTGCAAGTGACAAAGTTTGCTTTATAGTCAATGACGATGTAAATATCCAAGGTATTTTCAACTAGTTCGTTGTAGCCGGTGAGCTCGTACCTCTGGATGAATTCGTGGGAGATGGAGAAATCAAAGGGGAGTGTTGCGGGCCAGCACAATTTGACATTGATTAGATCGTTTGAGTCGAAAAGAGTATTATTGTAGTTATTCAATTTGACCAAAAGTCGTTCCTGTGGTTTGTTCACCATGTCATAGTGCAAGCTGATGGTTTGCTGTTCATTGCTGAGGGTGCTGAAGGTGAGTTTGTCTCCAATCGGATAGCTGTTTATCAAAGATGTACTAGAGTTTAGTCTTTTGATGAATCCTGGAGTATATGCAACTGGTAAATGCGAGTACGGTATATCGTAGTAGTAAGGGATTCGGAAAAGGCTGGTTTCGGTGTTGGCCACCACCAATGCCATCAAGAAGAAGATTATGGCCACTGGGAACTTCATGGTTGAAAAGTCAAAAAGGAAACATCAAGGTGTTGTTGAAGTTTTTTTTTTTTTTTTTCTTCATTGAAAAATCGCATCGTATCTTTAGGGCAAGATTAGTTAGTAAGGTAACTGTAGATCTAGCTTGAATCTTACGTTGGGGTGGTGTTCGGTCATGGAGCGTAGGGCTGACTGGCGGAAGGACTGGAAGTTGTCTGGGGAGATATCGGAATCGGTTACTTCCACCAGGAGATCCAACAAGGCCATTTCCAATTTTAGAAAGTTTTGGTTGACATAATGCATGAAGCTTCGAAGATTGAAGAGCCATCCGTGGAGTAGAATGCATTGCAAGTGGGGGAACTTCGAAGGGTCGATCAAGGTCTGGAACTGTTTGAGGGAAAGGTGTTTTTTCCAATTGATATCGTCGTAGTGTTTAAACTCGATGAAAAGAGTTTGTAGGGACGTAGATTTGGCATTGAGCGGATCATTGAGGAAATTGGTGAATCTTTCCGATAGTATAAAGGGGTTGTTATTGGAATAAGTGATTTGGCAAAAGTTCAAAGTATTATAGTGGTTAAATTGAGATAGTTGAAAGGGATACTCCCAAGTGCAGTTTTCGATGGTTAGTGATTGTAGGTGATTTTCTGGCATGAGGTCCGAGGGGTCCCAATTGAAGTGGTAAGAAGATAGGTTCAAATGGGTTAGTCTGGAGAAATTTGCAATATGGGCTAGATGGAATATTTTTGGATTGGTTGAGACTACTTGGGTCTGATGGGGTAAGGGACAGTTTGCCGATATGTCAAAGTATAAAGTTAGTTTTTCGATTTTGCTGTTGGTTCTATACTTGAGCCAATTAGAGGAATTGATCGAGTTGACAAGGAGTCCACGAAGATTGGGCAATTTTGTTAGGACGTTTTGGAAAATATCAATTTGCCATTCTCCGTACGAATAGTAATCGATTATTCTTAGGTATTTGATGAAACTAGCGTATCTGTTGAGCACCGGAGGCAATTTTTCCCGGATGTCTATGAGATCATTCCATCTTACTTTAATGTTGGAGTATAAGTATTGGATTAGTTCATTTCTATAATCATGACAAGTGGATGCTAAATTTATGATATCAGAGGCGGCCAAGTACTGGAAAACACTTTGAATCACATCATTTGGTAGTTTGACCAAGTTGAAGCTAGACTTTCGAGCTATTTTACGAGATGGAACCGAGTGGTCACCACGTCTTTTCATCCTTGGATAAAGAAGAGGAAGTGAGAAAAAATTTGCTTTTTTATTACAACTTAATCCCATTAACTACATCAACAACTACAATGAACAAACCGATTACGGATAGACAGCTCATACAGGTGGTACGGCTACTGCTAGTGACGGTGTTGAGTGTGATTCTTATCAAGCGGGTTTTGAATAGCGGGTTTTTACAAATGAATTCGAATCCACCGGTGGACGACGGACGAATCTTTGAAAACTTTGAATTCGACCCGCAAGATCGGTTTAATATACATGATAATATCAAGTACAGTTGGATAATTATAATTACATTGGCTATGGTGCTATCTTTTCTACTTGTTTAATGACTTTTATTATATAGTATAAATGTATTATAATTCACCGTGTTTACCACCGGTTTTAACAAATTCGCTTTCATTTCGATAAAAATCCATTGGCACTTTTTGAACATTATCATTGGGTTTACCATCATCGTCGCCGTCTTCTTCTTGGATGGAAACCCCCTTGTGAGCATTTTCTTTGCCAATTGCCCCGTCGGCATCGATTGCAACGTCAATCAAGTCACGATCGTCGTTCTTATTGATGCCCTGCTGCTTATTATGAGAAGTAACCTTATCTTCGGTTTCTTTGGCTTTAGCCTTAGCTTCGGCAGAAACGTCTTTGGAATCATTGGACTCTTCATCTGGTTGTTTTTCCTTTTCTTCTTTACCACCCGACTGTTCATGTTTAGGAGCTTTTTGAACATCCTCGTAAGAATCGGCTTCGGAAACTAAGGACTTACCTTGGTGCAATTGGCCTTGATTGAGGCCAACAGCGTTTTTGGCACTATTCAAGATACCAGAAACCCCAGAACCGGATCCAGTGGATTCGTCTTCGGGGACTTTTTTGGCAATGTCTTCTCTTGGAACAGTATCTTTTTCGCTATCAGTAATTTCTGGGCCTGACATTGTGTATAGTTAGGTGAAGCTAATGAGTAGCAACTTGGACAAAGTCTCGTTTAAATACCACTGGAGGTAATGGCACCACCGACATGGAATATGATTGCTATTTGCTGCAAAAACAGAGTAATCTGGCCGATGCCAAACGCAACGCCCGTACACCACACATTGAACCGGCGACGGCAAAAAGGATCCATCCTGGAAACCACCGATCTATGTATCCATTTAAGTATGTATCTAAGTATGTATCTAAGTATGTATCCAAGTATGTATCTAAGTATGTATCTAAGTATGTTAGTAAATCAATTTTGAAATGTCAATTTTAATATGCCAATTTTAATATGCCAATTTTAATATGTCGAAAAGTATGTATCACATTTTGAAGTATGTATCACTTTGAAAGTAAATCGATTTTAAAAGTATGTTTCCATTTAAAAGTATGTATCATTTTGAAAGTAAATCAATTTTGAAATGCCAATTTTAACATGTCAATTTTAATATGTCGAAAAGTATGTATCACATTTTGAAGTATGTATCACTTTGAAAGTAAATCGATTTTAAAAGTATGTTTCCATTTAAAAGTATGTATCACTTTGAAAGTAAATCGATTTTAAATGTCAAAAAGTACGTCGATTGCAAAAGTATTATCACATTTTGAAACTACTCATCCTTTTCAAAGCAAATCCATTCAAAAGTATGGATCACTTTTTGAAACTACTCTTCACTTTCAAATATATTTATTTAAAAGTATGTATTCATTTAAAACTATGTATAGTGTTACTTTCAAGTATATCATTATCGATTTATGTATGTTACTTTCAAGTATATCATTATCGATTTATGTATGTTACTTTCAAGTATATCATTATCGATTTATGTATGTTACTTTCAAGTATATCATTATCGATTTATGTATGTTACTTTCAAGTATATCATTATCGATTTATGTATGTTACTTTCAAGTATATCATTATCGATTTATGTATGTTACTTTCAAGTATATCATTATCGATTTATGTATGTTACTTTCAAGTATATGATTTGGTAGCAAAAACACAATATCCCAATTGGTCTTAGCACAATACGTTAAATAGCCCTCGCGCATTAGCCCATGGATAGCGAAGATCAACAAAGATCCAATAAATCTCTATATCTTCCAATATTCTCTACTAATCCGCCAATTCCTTAACAGCACTGATCTTTACTCTTTGCAGTATTGCAGTTTCTTTGTATTGAACTTTCTTTGTATTGCAGTTTCTTTGTAGTGAACTTTCTTTGTAGTGAACTTTCTTTGTAGTGAACTTTCTTTGTATTGAAGTTTCTTTGCAGTTTTCGCTACAGTTACAGAGTTACCGTCCAGTTTCAATGACGTAAGCCCCAAATCCACCCGCACGTGACCGGGCGTGCATGTGATTTTGGCCCGCAACTAAAGCCACACCCCAAATTAATTACTTAATCGATAATAAGAATTGCGATTGGGGCTTTCCAGCCTTTCTTTTTATATTCTTTGGGTTATCAATTACGAAGCTCCGATTAGTACAGATCACCTTCAACCAGTGGACAATTACGACCAGGAATTTTTTAATTGTGATGGATCTTTTTTCGCCTTGCCAATAAAAGTCCCTATCACTTTCGAGTTTGCATGAGTTATTCCTGTAAATAACGTTTTTGGCATTTGCCAAAAGTCGACCTCATCGCCTATCTTGAAATTTCGAATTTGTATAAATATTCCATCTTTGTAGTTTTAGAATTAATTTATAACAGTTGCTTGTTCTGTATTTGATTTATCATTTATCTAAGATACTTTTTTTCTGCTAGTTTTGTGGGTTAATTTATTGTTTGCTAAATTAATGATATAAAAAAGAATTGGTTGCCATTATATTTCGTTTTCTGTTCGTCAAACCATGCTAGGTAAACTTCTTTCAAAGGACTCTAAGAGTTCTAATTCAGAATTCACTGAAAAAAACAAAAATGACGTTGAAGGCAACGTTTTACTGGATGTTCCTGACGATACTTCTTCCAATTTAAGTGCTGATGAATTCTTACATTTGGTTGTTGCTGAAGAAGCCGGCCATACCATTAACTACCGTAATTGCTCCTGGCAGAAGACTGCCGGGTTGTTGTTTTCGGAATATATTTGTCTTGCCATCATGTCCTTCCCCTGGTCTTATTCGGTGCTTGGTTTGGTCCCCGGGTTGATTTTGACCTGCTTCATCTCGCTCACGGTTTTGTATACTGGGCTTACCATTTGTGATTACTGTGCTGCTTATCCCCATATAACAAACGTTTGTGATATTGGTCAACACTTGTTTTGGGGGTCGAAAGCCGTTTGGTATGCAACCGCGATTTGTTTCCTCCTCAATAATACGTTGATTCAAGCCCTCCATGTTTTGGTGGGGGCCAAATACTTCAACACCATTAGTGATAACACTACGGTTTGTACCATTGTGTTTGCGGTGATTTCCGCCATCATCTGCTTCTTGATTAGTTTACCCCGTACGTTTTCCTCGTTATCGGTGGTTGCTTATTTCTCTGCAATTACCATGTTTATTGCAGTCATTTTATCGATGATTTTTGCCGGTATTCAAAAACACCCGGGTCATTGGTCCTCTGCTGACAATTTACCCATCCATTATAACTTGTGGCCGGAAAAGGGTACCACTTACGTGGCTGGAATGTCGGCGTTTTTAAATATCGTTTATACTTTTGTCGGTCAAATCACCTATCCTTCTTTTATTTCTCAAATGAAACAACCAAGAGATTTTAAAAAGGCTTTATACGTGGTGACTCTTTGTGAATTAATCACTTTTGCTCTTGCTGGTTCAATTGTTTACGTTTACGTTGGTCAAAACTATATCACCGCCCCGGCCTTTGGCTCTTTATCGCCAGTTTTCAAAAAAGTTGCCTTTTCCTTTGCTTTACCAACCGTCTTGTTCTTGGGCTCCTTATACTCGAATGTCTCCAGTCAATTCTTATTCTTGAGAATCTTTGATAAAGATTCAAAACATAGAAACGAACACACCGTTACTGGTTGGTCCACCTGGATTGGTCTTAACGCTATTTTATGGATTGTCGCCTTTATTTTGGCAGAAGTTATTCCCTTTTTCTCCGACTTGCTTTCTCTTATGTGTTCGCTTTTTGACTGTTGGTTTGGGTTTGTCTTCTGGGGGGTGGCCTTTTTCAAATTACGTAAATTGGCGGCTGAAAGGAGAGGTGAATCTTTTTCAGTCTCTTCTTTATTCAAATCTGGCGGTATTGTAACCAAATTCGAAATCATCGCTAACCTCTTCTTAATTGCAATTGGGGTTTATATCTTTGGCCCAGGGTTTTATGCTACTATTCAATCCATCATTTGGAGTTATCAAGAAAATGCTTACGGTTCGGCTTTTGCTTGTGTTTCCAATGGTTTATAGACCTGTATTTTCTGTTCAATTCTTCTATATAAACTATACATTTTTTAAATATATATATTTCATATGCTATTTTCTTGAGTATCCCATATTATGGTAACTGGACCATCGTTAACCAATGAAACGTCCATCATCTCTCCAAATTTCCCATCCTTAACCCGTTCTTCACCAATTTCTCCTCTTAACTTATTCAAGAATTCATCGTATAAACTTTTGGCGGTATTCCCTTTGGCTGCTTTATGGAAATCTGGCTTGGTTCCCTTTTTAACCGTACCGTATAATGTAAATTGAGAAACTGATAATATACTCAAACTCGGATCCTGGAGAACACTCTTACTCCAGGGCTTACCATTCCAACAGCCCACATTCTCTTCGTTATTCTCAACGCTTTCAAATAATCTGAGGTTGACTAACTTCTTACTCAACTTACTAACATCTTCAAGGGTATCGGATGTAGAGATCCCAACTAAGATCATAAGTCCATGCTTGATTCTGAAAAGGTTAGTTCAATTCTCTATTGTGCACGCAAACCTATACATACGAAGAAACAATCTGGTTATCGACACTAACACTTGCTTGTTTCACTTTCTGGATAACAACCCTCATGCTTATCTTTCAAGATATCGTTCTAAAAGGGTAAAAGTCTTTCAATCCAGATTTTTCACTCTCGATCTATTTTTTTTTTTTTTCAGTGAATGGCGAGTATTAAAATTCCGCTTACTCTACTAATCTTATCATTATTTACTGATAATGTATTGATACGGTTAAACAATGTATTATAGAATTGAAAGACTAATCATCGTTAAGAATAAACTTGCAGAAATATTGAATACCAGCAAATGTTTCTTCACCAACGGGTTCGATATACTTATGTGGTAATAAGAACCCATGGTTCCCACTATCACGTAGTTTTAATTGATAAGCCCAGTAAGCTTTATTATGATACATGTAATCAAGAGCAGTACCGGAACCCAAATCAGGTAACAAGTCACTATCACGATCTAAACACGCCGGCAAAACACTATAATATTTACCAGAGTTGGTACGAATGGCCTTGGAAATCCCATAGGCCAATTCAATCAAATTTTCTTCATCTCTTGGGTTTTGTTCACATGAGTATGCATAAGGCATTAATATTTCTTCGGAATATGAATGCAAATCCAAGTAGCCCCAGATCTTATGATCTTTGTTGGTAGCATTAAGATAGTCATCCCAAATCTTTGACTCATAAGCTTCAAATGCGTATTCTCCACTGTATTCTTCACCACAAGCGTCATCGCTTGAATGGGTCCAGTGGAAGTTATAAGAGTGATCAATGTCAATACCAAGACAATTTTTAGGATTAGGATCCTCTGAAACAGCTTGACGGTTCTTACGCCATAATCGATCATGCTCCCAAGTATAAACGTATCCATCAGGATTCATGACAGGAATGAATAAAAAGTCGAGTTTGGATAAGATCCTACGATTATCGGGATTATTTTCATAATATTCAAGCATTTTGTAGATCGTGTATAACAGGGTCGAAACCGAAATCCACTCCCTGGCATGGGTTCCTGTAGTAAGAACAATTGTTTTACGATCATGATGCTCGATGTCGTCATCTGGTATCGAAAGATGGACCACGTTCAAAGGTCTGCCTTCATAAGTCTTACCGATTGTTTCTAATGTTATCACGTCTGGATAAGTATCAGTGAGTAATTCTAGCCATGAATTTATGAGCTCTAAAGGACGGTACTCTTTGAAAAAAAGGTCAGAAGTGGCATGGAAATCACCTTCAAAGTTCATCGTTTGAGCAGAGTATGGGTAGGTTTCGAAAATGGACTGAGCAAGATCTTCAATGACAACTTTATAGGTCAAATTGGTGAATTTCCCCTTCAATTTTTCCAAATTATCAGAGTTTATTTGAATATCGATCGATCTCCCTGCCGAGTTTTTCGACCATTTCTTAAATTCAACTTCTGGATCTCCGCCAACCAACGCTTTAAGCAAGTCTTCATCCTCTCCGTAGTTCACCCTTATAACCTTATCGGAGGAGTACTGTTGCAAGTTTATTGGATGCTCTTCAAAAGTGCTGTAGTGGGGTTTATCATTCTGCCTAAACTGGAAAATCAACTGCTTTTCTTCGCCAGTGAGTCCTGTGACAGCACCCACTGCCATAGAAACAAGCCAGGCTAATATTACTAGCGTATAAGGTATCATATTTGCCAGTTATTGGAGTATGGAACTTGCTTCCAAATGATTTTTTCAAGAAATGGAGAAAAATTCCATGATTTCGGAAACGAACTCCGTACCTCTCGATTTAAACTATAAAACCTTATTTCATAGACCCGATTTCTTTATCAACCGATGTCTTTTGCTGCTATTGGAAGGGTATTGGGGTTGGCTATCATGGTCAATGGGTTCAAGAGATCCATTAGTCTCGAGCTCCCCCCACACTTGAAACATGCTGGACAATTACAATTTTTAACGAATGTTGCATTACTTTTAAGTATAATGTTTGGATCATTAAGTCTAATTCTTGATACATTTGGGTTTAAATCATCGAGGAAGATGAGTATTTTCCATGTTTCTATATTCAATGTTGAGTTTTTGGTTACGGTCGCTTATTGGACTTTAATGCTTGTTTTTCCCGATATGCTTAATCAGGATTCTTTTGAAGTATCTTTTTCATTGGATTTTGCGATCCATATCACTCCATATGTGTTCTTATTAATTGATTATTTCAGAAAGAAGGTCGCTGTGAGTGCTAAGGAGAGTTTTTTGGGAACCACGGGGATATTAGTGAGTTATTGGTGCTACATTGAAGTATTAATGTATGGCAAAGACTCAACCATTTACAAGTATCCATACCCATTTTTAAATGAATCCGGATTATGGCGTAGACTTACATGGATAATCGGGTTTTCCGTTTTGGCTAATCTAAACCATATGATCAGTAAATCATTTAATAAGTTTATGTATAAGAAATCTAAATAAACTATTCTATCTTTTTAGCTTCTATTTCTTCATCAGAAGAACCCACAATCCAGTCGTAAAGCATACGCATAAAGATGAATTGGGAGAATCCCACAAATGCAACCATACCAAAGATCATGATCCTGGTTGATTCCTTTTCTGTGTTCAAAAACATATATGGATATGAAGCACCCGACTCCACGTCTACCAATTTTTTCAAAAGAAAGTAGTAGGCAGTTGATAAAACAGCACACATGGATAAAGCACTAGTTGCAGTCAAGGTCCATCTGGGCATGAAGATCAAGTAATCAACAAGTAATGAAACCACCGGCAATAAATGGATACATAAATCAGTTACCAAAGGTAATGACATTTTTTCAGGCTCAGCAACCAATAAATGTAAAAAGAATATTCTTAAAGGCCAATAAACGCAAGCAACAACTGCTTCTAGCGCAAGCCCAATTGGATGTAAGTTATTTTTGACTTCAAATAACTTTTCTGATCTTGATACATGAGCAAGAAACCCAATCAAGAAAACACATAATGAATAAACAAGACTTAAATTAGTAAGAAACTGCCAGTGTCCACCTCTTATAAGATGGGGTGGTAATGGTAATGAAAGAATCAGGAATATCCCATATAACCCACCGAGAATAGAGAAAAAAGTTATCGCCGTGATAACTGGATCACCAACTGTTCTAGCCATGCTATTTTACCGACTATCAAACTAAGCTTAAAGCGAATACTTGGACGTTTAAGTAGTAACGGTATCTTGCTCTGATGGCTTTCGGTACGGTACTTTTTTTTTTTTTTTTCGCTTTTTCCGTACGAAATGCAACCGGTGTACGGGACTCTCTCGTCTATTGGTTGCTAAAACTACAAATGTAACCCAGTCGTGATCGTTAAAGATTATAGAATCAGTCCAGTTTACCGAAGAATCTTGATAACCTGGAGGAAGAGTTGGAGCGAGAGTTGGAGCGAGAGGTTGAACGGGATTTGTTGTAAGGAGTAAAGTCGAATTCGTCTGAATCAGAAGCAGGTTTTTCAGATTTGCGTCCCCGGTCTTCAGGTTCACTAGGTTTATCAGGATGAGAGGATGAAGGGGGCTTTATATTCTTTGAATATACTTGGGAGTTTGAATTGGAGTGTTTATGGCCTTGCAAAGTATTTGTTGGAGATAAAGTATTCAATTGTCTTTCTTGGGCAGGAAGGTTTGTAGAAGAGCCCGATCTTGAAGAAGAAGGACTTAAAAATTTATGTTTCTTCTTTTTATTTGGATTGTAAGTGGGGTAAAGGTCGATTTCCGCTAACCAATCTTGAAAATAGCTTTCCAGGGCAATTGGATTGGTTAAGATTTCAACGTACTGATAACTTGGTTTAACCACAATCACTGGAACAAGAGCACATTCCAAAAAGTGTTTTGAGATTGAAGACTTGGATAGGAACGATTTCCGGGTATTACGATCATCATAATGATGGGTACCCACCACCATCATTGCGGGACCATATTCTTCAATTGCCTTTTTCAATAATTTTTGAGGTTTGCCAATGGCGGTTTCAAAAACCACTGCAACTTTCTTTTTATGAGAGTTTAGAGTTTCAATTGAATTCAAGATTTTTTTCGCCTTTGACTTGTCGATATGATCGAATCGTTTTTCATCCAATACTTGTAGAATGATGAGAGTGTCTCCATTGATGACCATTTCATCGAATAGCCATTCGATTGCTTTCAAAGATTCTTGGTCATTATTAAACCCCACAAGAAACAGTTTATTGTTGCGTCGAAACTTAAACTGGGGATGCTTCAATTTACAAGTATAAGTTTTATGATGATCATGAGTGGAAGTATCAAAGGAAATGCCTCTTTCCAAAGATTTAAGATGAGGTAGTTGAGGTCTGGTATTCAAATTGGAAAGACGCGACGACGACGACGATCTCGACACTAAGGGAGAAGTTTGGGCTCTAAATGCCGCATTGATATTGGTATTGGATAAAGACTTGACTTTCAAATGGTCCAGAGTACTGATGGAAGGACTTGCAATGGGGCTCGGAAGTTCTGATGCTGAACTTACCGAATCAGAGTCGTAATCATCGTAATATAGTCTACCTAATAAATCCAGCGACGTATTTTCTTGTTTGTACGAATCCACACTGTCGTTACTTACGTGAAACATCATCGCATTCAATCTAGTATTCATCTGAGTTTCACTTTCTTCATTTTCATCATTCTTAACTTTGACTGCTTTTTCTTTAGCATACTGTTTAGGAGTTTCTATTTCATCATTTTTTTCATCATCCAAATCACTAGCTTCATCTGACTTTGGCTTCGAGGGTTTGCCTCCGCCAAAGAAGAAATGGGCCATGTCCTTAACACTTATATAAGGGATCTCTCTAATGGTTATCTCTGATATCTAATTTCTTATGATAATTCTCACTTTTGTTTTTCTGATGTCGGATTTCGATTTTTTTTCTAATGCCTTGACTTTTTTTAGAGTGCCTATTTAAATTACCCAATCATCCCCTAACTTAGTCTTTGTGATTATACTGTTACAAGACCCTTGTTAAACGAATATTCATTTAGTTGAGATGAAGAATGAGAAAAATGGTCGTAAAAAATGATGCAAAATTAATTGAATATATCTATATATACCAAAGTGAGAAAACTATATACAATATTTACTTTGATATTTCGTCTTCCATGTATCTACCGGTGTCTATACCTGAATTGTGTTCGACAATGCCCCATAACCGATCCATTTTGATGCCTCCAATGTCATCAGCAACGTAATAATGTTTAGCTGAATCATTCCACGTAGAATAAGGTTTCCAAAGTCGTTGTTCATTAGGAGGAGTTAACTTCAAGGTCTTATTATCGGAAACCGTTAAAACCTCATTATAAGTCTTTCCTCCGGTCATGTTCAATTTTTCCATAACCAACTTCTCTTCGCTGGTTAAATTTTCTAACGTTTGTGGTTTATCTTTATTATATAACCGGAATATTCTGGTGACGTAGTCCTTGGTTTTATACTGCACTAGAAGAGCAGGAACAGTGCAAGATGCCAAAGTTGTATATGCATATATATCTTCAAATTGAACCGATTCGAAAAATAACTTGGAAGCGTAGATCCCCAACACGGAAAAACTTAAACTTAGTCTTTTCAATAACGAAACGTACTTTGCTCCGGGAGACTCGTACAACGGCTGGTACGAGAGCCTGTAGTTCTCCGGCAATGCTTTGGCACGCCATGCTCCCGGTTCCTTCACGTACACGATATCGTTGTATAACGTAGGTGACCAGGGATTATTACTGGAGATGATTTCGTCGTTATCGACGTTCGAGTCGTCCGACTTATAGTTGGTGCTGGCAAACCGAACAGCCCTGACCTGTGTTCCAACCGGCCTAAGACCACGAGAGACTCTGGATAGCATATTACTGGATCTTATCTTATCTTGTATTATGTCTTTATGTCTTTATATCTTTGAAAATTCTTTTTTGTCGGTTGGGGTGATTAGGTAAGTGCTTAGGTAATAATAATTGTGTCACGTGATATATATTTACACCCGTATAGTTTGTTTGTATCACGTGATATGTGTTCACACCCGTACACTACCATATTTCCAGTAACCAACATAATCGACAGAACTCCTACTACACCCCCACGGCACCAGCTACAGCATGTACTCACTGGCGGGTGCCCGTAGAACCATGGTGAAGTCACCGGCGCAAGAGATGTGTATGGGAAAAGGCAATCAATTTTTAGACGCGCTCATTTCAAAGAAGGAAGAAGAAGAAGAAGAAAAAAAAAAAAAAGAGAAGATGGTCGATTACTTCTTCTTCTTTTGAATCAATCAATCAAATAAGAATGGACGGAGATCAAACCAGTAAGTTTATACCAGAGTACCGTCGTACCAACTTCAAGAACAAGGGCCGTTTCCAGAGCGATGAATTAAGAAGAAGAAGAGAAACGCATCAAGTTGATTTGAGAAAACAAAAGAGAGAAGAAGTCTTATCCAAGAGAAGAAACTTTGTTAACGATGGTAGCGCCGGAGGAGGTAATGATAGTGAAGACGAAGATGCGTTCAATGCAGGGGGGTTTATGGCTGACGGGAACAGTGACGAAATACAATTCTATAGTAAATTACAACAAGATTTACCAAGAATGATTGAACAAATTCAACAAGGAGATTTTGAAAATCAATTAGCAGCAACGGTTAAGTTTCGTCAGATATTATCCAGAGAACATAATCCGCCAATTGATATGGTGATTAATTCCGGGGTTATTCCCAAATTGATTGAGTTTATGAAGGATGATCATCCCGACATGTTACAATTGGAAGCTGCTTGGGCGTTGACTAATATTGCATCGGGTAATTCTGATCAAACCAAGGTTGTTGTTGAATCCGGTGCAGTGCCATTATTTGTTAATTTATTAAACTCGCAATCGTTGGAAGTCAAAGAACAAGCCATTTGGGCTTTGGGTAACGTTGCTGGTGATTCTGCTGATTTTAGAGATTTTGTACTTGGATGTAATGCCATGGATCCCGTATTGAGTTTATTCAACACCACCAAGATGTCGTTGGTCAGAACTGCCACCTGGACTTTATCAAATTTGTGTAGAGGTAAAAATCCTCAACCAGACTGGTCAATTGTTCAACAAGCCATCCCCACTTTAGCTAAATTGATTTATAGTGTTGATGCAGAAACTTTGGTTGATGCTTGTTGGGCGGTTTCATATTTAAGTGATGGTACCACCGAAGCCATTCAAGCGGTGATTGATGCAAGAATCCCCCATCGTTTAGTTGAATTATTAAGTCACGAATCAACCTTAGTTCAAACTCCGGCATTGAGAGCAATTGGTAATATAGTTACTGGTAATGACGTTCAAACCCAGATTGTTATTAACGCAGGGGTATTAAGTGCATTGGGTCCGTTATTAAATAGTCCAAAAGAAACCATTCGTAAAGAAGCTTGTTGGACTATATCCAATATCACTGCTGGGAATTGTGAGCAAATCCAAGCGGTTATTGAAGCCAATTTAATTCCTCCAATCATTAGGTTATTAACCAAGGGGGATTATAGAACTAAAAAGGAAGCTTGTTGGGCTATATCAAATGCCTCAAGTGGTGGATTAACCAGACCAGAACAAATTAAATATTTGGTTAATCAAGGATGTATTAAACCGTTATGTGATTTATTAGCCGTGGCCGATACTAAAATCATCGAGGTCACCTTGGATTCTTTAGATAATATCTTGAAAATGGGTGAAATGGAAAAGGAAGCCAAGGGTCAACCAGTCAATGAAAATACCTTATACATAGAAGAAGCCGGTGGTATGGAAAAAATCTTCGAATGTCAAGCAAATGAAAATGAAAAAATTTATGAAAAAGCTTATAGCATCATTGAAAAATACTTCTCCGATGATGACGATCAAATTGATGATAACGACGTCAATCCTCAAGCTTACGGGGATCAATTTGGTTTTGGCGTTGACCCAAACCAACAGCAAAATTTCAATTTTGACTCCGGTTACATGTAATCTTTCCTCTTTGTATTTTCTTCTTCTTATATTATTATGATTTTTTATTTAGTATTACTATCTCTGCATCTCTACTTCTAGTCATCTCTATAATACAACCCTCTATCATTCAATAAACATTCTCTATTGCATTTCCCGTTGTAGAAGTCGGTTAATGGAAACCTCCGTACATTTTTTTCGGAGTAATTACTACTTGTTTTTTTTTGATCGAGCCACGACCTCGTGGACAGCGAATACCTACCCGGTATATCCATCTCGTCTGTTGTACTACTACTGCTGGTGCTACTGGCACTATACTGGCACTGGCGTTGTACTGGCACTGTGGTAGAGGTATTATATGGATATAGCCATTACATAATCCAGCCAAATTTGGATGTTTACCTTTTTTGCGCATACAAAAAAAAAAAAGTGAATAAAAAATCTCTCAGCGGTTAAGATTTTTAAGTCCCGGCAATTCCAATTCCCTCATTGAAAATTCACTTTAAAAAGCTTTGAGAATAGCTATTACTTCTTTTTTAACCAAATTAAGTTAATATGAAGTTATCATCGATTATTGTTGGTTTGACTGCCTCCAGTGCTGTTGCCTCTGCTGCCGCCGCCAAAAGAGATAACACCGGTACAGTTACAGTTACTGTTACTGGGTCTACTCAAACTCATAAAGACGGAAGATTCGACAAGACCAAGCCGGCATCCACTTCTTCATCTTCTGGTACTCACAAGTACGGTAGATTCGATAAGACCAAGCCAGCTTCGTCTTCTTCTTCTACTGGTACCCACAAGNNNGGTAGATTCGATAAGACCAAGCCAGCTTCGTCTTCTTCTTCTACTGGTACCCACAAGGATGGTAGATTCGATAAGACCAAGCCAGCTTCTACCTCATCTGCTACTGGTACCCACAAGGATGGTAGATTTGACAAGACTAAACCTCCAGTGACTACTACTGTGTACGTTCAACCATCTAGCTCCAACAAACGTCAATTTGTTGCCAACAAGGCTGCTAACGCCAGTGGTAACTCTTCCAGTAACTCCACCAACGGTTCTTCCGGTGCTTCTTCCACCACCGCCGACTCGGGTGCCGTTCTTAACGGATTCAACTTGGGTGTTGCTGGTGCCATTGCCGCCGGTATGGTTTTGGTTGTTTAATAGATGAATCCTTTAGACTTATATTTAAAAAAAAGAGAAAAAAAGAGACTATAAAAATAATACCTAAAATTTTGAAAGCTTTTTCAGTCATAATTCATTTTTTTTTTTAATTTTGTTTTAATTTTTTTGTTTCCTTCGTTTATTTCGTTTCGTTCATGCTGCTAACTAGGAAGAGTCTATCTATAAATGAAGTTTATTTATAAGACTCGCCAGCGATTGCATATTGATACTTTTTTGTCGACTCAGTTGGTTATCAATCTGAATGTCTTCATATATACATTAATCTTTAATACATATTGTTTATTTAGTAAACTATTCTCTGCTTAATATTTGCCAATTCTTGCGATAACTCATTCTTCAACTGTTCGACCTGTTCTAATTTCAACTTTAACTGGTCAACCATACTCTCGTCTTGACTGAAGGTGATCAAGTTGTCCGGTTCCGCGTTGTGATTCAGTTCAACGTAACCTCTTTTAACCATCGAAGTGATGATTTCAAATGCCACTTGGGCCCCATTGGTAGCAGTGATCTCGGCGTTATCAAAAGCAGGGGCAACTTCAACAATATCGGCCCCAACAACGTTTAAACTCTCGAGGTTTCTTAAAACATGTATTAATTCTCTCGGTAACCATCCCCCAGGTTCCTGGGTCCCGGTCCCGCTGCCAAAACCAGGATCCAACACATCAATATCAACCGATAAGTAGGTGGGGGTGTTAGCAGGTACAATCAGTAAGATTTTTTCAATAACGTATTGGGGGCCCTTTAACCAGATATCGTCGGCTAAAATTCGAGTGAAATGTTGTTGATCATCACTTTCATAATCTCCCAACCCGGAAAGCTTGGTTCTTATCCCGGCATGCACGTTATGTTCGGTGGTTAATCCTTCTTTGAATGCCTTCCATAGCATCGACCCATGAGTGGTTTCACTTTGGTCAGAGTGCCAGAATGACGGATACTTATCTGGAGCCCAAGTATCCAAATGAGCATCAAAATGAATTACATTAATTGGACCATAAACCTTATGTAATGCCCTTAAATGGGGTAAGAGAACTGAGTGATCTCCTCCAAGAGCAACATACTTTGGTGGTAATTCAGTGGTATCATTTGAATTTTGTCTACGAACCAATAACTCTTCAAATGCTGCATCCATTTGCTTGAATGCCAAATTATTATCCATTGGTGTAACGGGGACATCTCCACAATCAATAACTTTGGCCCACGATTGGTACGGATTATAATTGGCTCGTTGATTCCATCCTCTTAATGACGTTTGTCTTTGCAGGGCTGATCTAATGGCTCTTGGTCCAAATCTGGCCCCCGGTCTATAAGATACCGCAGTATCGAATGGTACCCCAATTAACGCAACATCGTATTTGGCTTCACTATCAATTAAACATTCGGTGTGTTCCAAATGGGCAAACGTATTGATCCCTTGAAACGGCCATAATGACCCCCACATATCTTCTAAAGTTGGTTCCTGGGTCCCATCACTCGATTGATAAATAAACTTATCCCCCGATTCATGGTGTATTTGGTTAGCATTCACTAATCCAATCGCTAACGTGAATAATAGACTGAGCTTCATCCTTGCTTACCGTTCGTCTTGCCTACCGTTCGTCTTGCTTACCGTTCGTCTTGCTTTCAATCGTGGGATCCCTGCTAGTATTTATACTCATCTGTTGGTTCCGTGAAAAGCGGAATTTTTCTGTTTGCAGCATTCCGCTAAGGATGGCTCATTAACAGATAACTATTCAGGTTGTATAATAGGGTTGGATAATGGGGATTAGATATGACTCGTTATCCTAGTAGAGGGGATTAGCCTTTGTATTCCAAAAGACGGTCGGTTCATTAAAGTAAACTAATAAGGATTGTCGTTTTGAATTGGGCCAACTTTACGAATCCTCAATCCTTCACTGCTCCTTGACCACTGGGAATACAGTGACTGTAATGACAATTGTTGAATATCCCCATTTACAACCCATGAAACTTACAACTCTATGATACTAGCCACTGCTTTCAATCATTAGTATTATCGTTGATGATTCTGGTTTTATTGGAGTGCACGGAGGTTTGTGATGCAAATTTACCAGCCTAACTCTTGTTACAGCTCAAACATGGCACCATTGAGTGTATAACTGAGTGCTGGTGTAGGGCAGGCTCCTGTAATATCATTCCACCGAATAGTAGAAGTATACGGTCTGAAGACAAATAAGTAAAACTGAAGGAAATGTACGGAAGTACAAAATTGAACTTGAAATTTTAAGCCAAGCTGAATGTGAACAGTTGTTTAAGTCTACCAACTCACTCTTTTGACTATCCTTCAGCTCAATTGGTATAATGGGGTTTTCAGACTTTAGAAAAGCTCTTAAGAAGATCGATAGCTCTTTGAAAGAGCACAAACAACAAAAACAGGGACAACAACTGGATAACGGTGGTCAACAGGTGCAACAACTGGATAACGGTGGTCAGCAAGTGCAACAAGCAGACCCACAGTTTTCATCTAACCCAACCAACCCGTCTAAGGGGGACTTGTTTTCGAGGCCAATTGCTACTTCAGAGCCTCCAGCGATATTCAAAAGGGTAAAACATAATCAATTACCTAAAGGATGTAATTATGGTGAAAATGATGCTCCGATTCAAACTAACAACTTTTCAAATAATTTAGCTTTGGAGGATCAAACATTCCCGGTCTGGCCATTACCTTATTCTCTTTGGTTGTCAAAGGATCCTGGTCAAGATGTTGGATTGGCCGTTAACCATACTGAAGCTAACCAACAGGTTTTCGGGCCCGAACCCGATGCTGATCCAGCACAGTTTTATTTCAATCCTCCTAAAATCAAATCATTTGTGTTTTCAGGTGAAAACTTTCAAGAGTCAAATGTGAATCTTAATTTAGAAAACCATCAAAAATTGTCAATCGTTGCAAAACTCTCAGTCACCGGAAATCAAAACGTTACTTTCCCCATAGTCCATGGAATGGGGTTTGTTACTGCTGTTTATAAGAAAATAAAGCCAGTCATTGCATCTCAAGTTGGTGTTCAACAATTTAAAAAAATTGGCTCCGTTGGTAAAAATGTTACAAAATACAGAGCAGTTTTATTTAACCAAGTTCCGTGGTCGATTTACGTTAGTGGAGACGATGTTTCACTTGACTTGAGAGATCCTAATCATATTGTTGGTAATTCTCAGCCAGGAGGCTCGGTTGTCATTCAATTGGCTCGTGAAGAATCTAAACACTATGATAATTCGGCTGGTATTTATCCTATAGCAGCCCATTTACAAGGAAGCGTCAATGGTAAAAAGGGTCAATATAAATTTGTTTATGAAAACAAAGGTGAAAGTTCTAATGGAACTGGTCTTGTTTGGTGTTTACCTCATCATCAAGAAGTATTGACTAATGAGGTTAAAAAGCAAGATACTGGACTCGAGCTCGATTCTACGACAAAAGGTGTAATGAAAGCTTATACAACAAATCAAATCGTAATGGAGGAACCAGAGTTGCCCCTTGACATTGGATTCGAACCATGGTCTTCTGTTTCGGGCTTCAAAGGTGAAGCAACCTACTCGGACGGAGCAAAAACAGTCATTAGAAGGGCCGCCGAGCAAGAAATCAACCAAGACGTAATTGGTATGGCAAACATTGATTCTATGTATACTTCAGGTAAAATTTTAGATAAATTTGCTTATATCGCATACGTTACTCATTTCATATTGAATGATGATGATTTGACTGGTAAAATCTTACCAAAAATTAAAGAAGCAATCGAAATCTTTGCTCAAAATAAACAAAAGTATCCTTTGGTTTATGATACTGCGTGGAAAGGTCTTATTTCCTCTGCTGAGCCAGCAGCAGATTTTGGGAATTCCAACTATAATGATCATCATTTCCATTACGGATACCATATTCATGCAATTGCCCTTGTGGCCAAAATTGATCAATCTTTTGATAAGGGTGAATGGCTTAAAGAAAATAACAATTTAGTTGGTGACTATGTCATTACTTTATTGAGGGATATTGCAAACCCATCAACTGATGATAAATACTTCCCACAATCAAGAGCATTTGATTGGTTTCATGGTCATTCATTTGCCCACGGTATTTTCGCAAGTGGTGATGGTAAAGATGAAGAATCTTCTTCTGAAGATTACCACTTTGCTTATGGTACTAAGCTTCTCGGTCAAGTAATTGGAGATGGTGATATTGAGGCTAGAGCCAACTTGATGCTTGCAATCATGAGAAGATCAATGAATATGCATATGTTATTCTCTGATGATAATAAAATTCAACCAAAAAGATTCATAAAAAACAAAGTAGCTGGTATCACATTTGAAAATAAAGTTGATTTTGCTACTTATTTTGGAAGAGGTACTATATCTGATGAATGGATTCATGGTATCCACATGTTACCAATCACCCCCATCTCTTCATATATCAGAAAACCAAGCTTTGTCAAAGAAGAATGGGATCAAAAATTGGGCAGAATTGTTGATCAAATTCCAGACGGTTGGAAAGGTATTTTAATACTTAACGCTGCTCTTTTTGATCCAAAATACTCTTGGAAATGGTTCTCCAGGGACGATTGGGATGACAGATTGATTGATAATGGTATGTCGAGGACTTGGTCTTTAGCTTATATTGCTGGTATTGGTGGCTCTGATTAGTTCCATTTGTGTCATTTAAATGAGACTTTATCACGATATCTGATACATATAGTTTATAAAATCCTCAGAATTGGCATTCACAATTACCATGAAACCAACTACTGTAGTCTCAAAAGTGCTCATGTCTACTGACGTTTCTGAATGTGAACCACTTGGCTTGTAGATTTTGTATTGCGTTACCTAAAACGAAACCATCAAAACCTTTTATAATTGGCAAATTTTAGGAAGTCTGAAAGTTCATCTATGATCGAAATAAAGTAAACATTTGGTTCGTCCAAGCCTCGCATCTTGACATTGAGATGACAAATACAAAGTTCTAACCAAAGAACCAGACCTGTTCTATCGCCCAATCGTCTCTTTTAGAAAACTCGACTTAAAATACCTCAAAATATTCGTTCTGTCTGGGGCTTATAAGCATTTCGGTACAGCTTCTAGTGTGTTTTTGATGCCATACCGTAATTCAGCTACTCCTTTTATGTACTTCCATCGTTTTCCAAGACTAGGTTATTGAATAATCTTTGAATTGTTTGAGCTTAGGCTGCGAATTTAACCAACGTCTCGGTATATGTCGGATTTTGCGGCAAACCGGTGAAGCGCAATCGTACAAAAATAGTAAATCGTTGCTTCAGCCTATATAAAGATAACAAATCCTCCAACAGCTTCGTCTCTTCAACCAGAAGTAACATAACCAAAAGTTATATCAAGATGGCCAAACACCTGTTCAATAACGTGAAAGAAATTGCCGGCAAGTTTCCAGGTAGCACTGACAGTCTATTCGTGGATTGTTATTTGACTGATCTGCCAGATTGCAGCAGCCGAGTATTCAAGTTGTACGATAATTTACCAGCACATTATCATAAAAGCTGTGATGAAATTCTCTACCTTTTGCAAGGCAAAGCTAAATTTCATATTTTCGACGATGATGGTGTCACTGAAGTTGAAAGCCAGATAATGGAACCAGGGCTGATGGTGACCTTTTTTAGAAACACTACCCATCAAGTTGAAATCATCGAAAGTCCGGTGTTTTTATCGTGTGACACACCAAGAAGACAGCCTGATGATGTTCATTTTATACATAAAGAAGAAACAGAAGGAGTCAAATTCGTAAATCATATGGATAAACTGGGAAAGTTTTGCTGTTGATTTCTGTTTACTTAAGACTTAGTCTGTATTTTATACAACGTTGAAAGGCATTCAGTATAACGGCCCGATACATAATACATGTTTTACAATGGTTTTCGTAAATTTAATCGTAAGACTTGATTGTTCCCATTAAGTTAACAATAATCGTAATTGATAAGGTCAACTTATAGTCTTATTGCGAAAAAAAACGATACAACTGTGGCATATACTAAAGGTATTTTAACGATTAGATCTTCTAATTTTTATTTTTTGATTCGAAGTAATTTGGGCATCAAAATGGTTAAAATTATCGCTGGTGGAGATGCCTTGTACTCTTCAACCAACTTGAAAGAACGAATTGATCCAAAAATTGTCAAACTTCTTACTGAAAGTGATGTTGCATTCTTGAACGCGGAATTCACTACACCCAAGCCAACTACTCCTTCAGCAGCAGGTCGAGGATATTTGACGAGTATCAAGCCTCGTTCGCTTGATGACTTGCTATCGCTTAATTTCAAGCTCATATCATTTGCTAACAACCATACGGTAGAATTTGGGCATGAAGGTTTGGTTGATACTATCGAAGAAAGTGAAAAAAGAGGAATTCATCCTGTAGGAGTTGGAAGATCTCTTGAAGATGCTAAGAAGCCCCAATTTTTTGATTCTTCAACTGGTAGAGTTGGTATTGTTGGTGCATCTTCCACTCATTCTCATATTGCACTTGCTGCAAGTAATGGTGCACATACTCCTGCGAGAGCCGGTCTAGTACCACTAAGATGGACATTATCTTATGTATTGCCAGAAGAACAATATAAGCAGTTTGAACAAATTGACATCTTATTAGGAACAAGAAAGTCAATGTTGGAATCGGCCCGTGTTGAGGTTCGTACTGGTGAAGTTACTGGTGATGACTTTTTCAGATTTGGTCATTTATTTGACAGTAACTTGGTTGTAACCAAAGCTAAAGAAGGTGAATCCGCTCATGTGAGGACTACTGCTAACGAAATTGACTTGCAAAGGCTTTTACGAAGTGTAAAAGATTCTGCTGAAAGGTCTAATTTACCAATTTTTTCACTTCATACTCATGAAGGTGACAACAACAATTGGTATAACCCAATCCCACCAAAATTCATACAGAAATTTGCTCGGAAAACTATTGATTCCGGGGCAAAAGCTTTCATTGGACATGGTGCTCATATGCTTCGTGGAGTTGAAATCTATAAAGGAAAACCTATTTTTTATAATGTCGGTAGTTTCTTAATGGAATTCGAGCCGGGTGAATCATTTATTGGTCCAGAAATGTACGAGAAATATGGTTTGGATCCAAGTACGTCGTTACCATCTGATCTCCATAATCTTAGATCTTATGGACCAAAAGGTGAAGCTATCGGATTTAGGAGTGGTCGAAAGTTTTCAATCAACATCCTTGTTGAGCTTGAAATTGACGAAGATGATGAGGATTCTTTTCGATTCAAAATCATTCCAATCGATTTGGGTCTTGATACTAGGCAAAATAAATTGAAAAGAGGTTTACCAGAGTGGGCCACAAATGACGTTGCAAAATACGTTACCAATTACTTAGAGGAAAATTCAGCTCCATGGGGTACTAAGTTCAATTATAATGAAGCAACGGGTTATATCAATGTACTTACTGATTAAATTCCATGCTCCAGTTTTATTATTTTATTTTTTGTAGCATATAAGCGTAGTTGGATCTCAAAAGATCTGGAAAAACCGTTTAATCTCGTAAAATTAACCTTAATTATAAATTCCTTTAAAGGATGATGAGATTCTTTTTACGGTTGGTGATCCGAACGATGTTGAAACTGTGGCATCCAATTTAAACTTTATTCACAATAATCGTAATATGGTCGCAGGTTACTATAAAAGTACCGGGATTCTGGTAAGATTGAAGAAATGAATGTTTCATAGTAAGGTAAGATGTCTTTGGAAAATAGAAAACCGACTTCGAAAACAAGTTCGATTGTGGTAGAAGAAGACCAATTGGATAGTGTACATATTGAAGACTCCTATCAGAAGACATGGAAATCGAACATATGGACCAATTTAGACTATTCTAAAGAGCATCGAACTATTTTGAATAAATTAGATTTTTGTGTTTTAGTTAGTGCTATGCTATCAACGTTTGCAAAATACATCGATAAATCTAACTTATCATCAGCGTATGTATTGATATAGAGGAAAACAAAATGAGTACTAACAATAAGCCAGTTATGTTTCAGGAATGAAGGAAGCCATTGGAGTAGAGGGAAATGAATTGAGCTATGCTAATACCGGGTATAGTATAGCATCTATTATTTCAGGATTTGTTGGAGGTATTTTGATGGTTACCTTGAATACAAGATGGTACATTTTAACTATCGAGAGTTTATGGACTCTAGTAACTTTTTGTTTTGTATTAATCAAGACTCCTACCCAAATGATAGTTTTAAGAACATTTATCGGGTTATTGGAAGGTAGTCATTTTGCAGTATTAATGTTTTTAGTTGGAGGGTATTATCTCAAAATAGAGGTCGCCAGGAGATGTAATTTAATAAATGCCTTCACTGCAATTGGGCCAATGTGTGCATACGCTTTACAATCCAGGGCAAGTGCACTGCTTGATAAAGTCAATGGGTATGCTGGATGGCAGTGGTGCTTTTTACTAGATGGAATAATTAGTACTGGGGTACTTATTTTTCAATTTTTTTTCCAAGTAGATAAGTTGGAATCATTAACACCTAACTGGTTCTGGTCACAAGAGGAAATCGATTATCTTAGATCGAGGTTGCCTGCTAAGAATAAAGATGAAAATTCCAGACAAATCAATAAAATTACATTAGTTGATTTGAAGAAATTCTTATTGACTTGGAAAGTTTATCCGATTTGGCTTTATTCTATTCTTAATAATTTCGTTCAAGAACCAGCAGCAGCTATTCCATTCTATTTTAAAGGTTGGAATGCAATCAAGCCTGGATCTTACACTACGCCACAAATCAATAATTTAACCATTCCTTTATATGCCGTTCAACTACTTACTTCGATAGTATCTGGATGGTTGTCCGACGTCGTCTTCAAAGGAGATAGATGGCAGGTTATGGCAATTGGTATAAGTTGGTCAACGGTTGTTTATTTTTACTTGGGAACTCATAAAATATTTGAAGCCCATAGAGCTACCATTCTCTTTTTCATGTACAACTCTGGAGTGGCACAAGGAGTAGCAGGCCAATTTTGGGCACAAGCACAAGATAGTTTTGAGTCTGATTCAAAATTGAGATCATTTGTCACCGGTGGCATCAATCCTGCTTCGGGTGTCTGTGGTGCCATTGTTGGACCTTTGCTTTACCCTTCTTCCAAATTACCAGAAGTTTACACTGGGTATTTGGTCTCCGGAGGTGCAGGCATTGCGTATGTTCTGTTGAGTGTCTTATTTGGCCTTTACCTATATTTAGAAAAGAAGAAGACTATTGAAATCACTAACACGTGTTAAGCATTGCAGTAATTCATCTATCCAATTGCCGCAAAACGAAGAGAAGCAGAAAAATACTTCAAAAAAAGATCATCAAAAGATACCAACTTCGAATTTAAGTATATTGAAGTATAGTTTGATTTTTCTTTTGTGCGAGGAATAGGAAGCTGCAACAATGTAACGTAATAGTCTAAAGATCCAATATCTGGTTCAAAGAAGAAAAGAAGAAGAAGAGATGAAGATTCTTCGACGAATATTCATTTATGTATGCATAATATCTCATTGCTTCTTCCTTGTTTCCATAATATCTTCGCTTGTAATATAAGTCTACGAGGAATCAAATTCTTCGTCTTCTGGAACAATGCTTTCTTCCTTTTGCAACACTGTTCACAATAAGATTATGTACTCGTGACTCTCGTACATCTCAACAGAACGAATACAAATAGCCAATAAAACTCAAGTGATTAGCTTTGAGTGAAGATACAGGGACATCTCGTAATGGGTCCAAGAACTCATGCATTTCGGAGCTTATAGATCTCATGGTAGATAGTTCATAGATAAAGTTTTGGCAGCTTTTCTTTCAGGAAGAACAATATATCTCTGTACCATTGCTTGGATACCAATATATTACATGCATGAGCTTTGAAGGAAACGGCAAGTGTTAAACGACAACCATTGATGTATTCTTAAGAATAACAAATCGTTGTAGAGCTCTTTACACCGAACCCATTATTCTGCTTGTTCTGTGGGATTATTTCTTTTCGGGTCCGTTAGCCTGATATCCTTTTCAGCAGCACGTTTTAAATTGCTGATACCCGGTTCAATCCTATACTACCAGGCTTACACACAAAACCACCGTGATTATGTTTAGTGACTGCCTTGACTTATACTTACGTCCGTTCGATTACTTGTTCTGGGTTATGAGGCGTCTTTCCACGATAATTTTCCTTCATCAAACGTTGATGAATTGTATTTGTTGCATAATTTTCGCGGTTCAACATAACTTTAAGTAAATAAACAATAACTACGACAGCCCGAACTACGAGAGCCCGAACTACTCAGTAAGGTCTTTGGCAGTCAGAATCATAGAAAACGTTCTTCACTTACCAGGCTTTTAGGACCCAGCCTGATGTCCACCAGTGTTATGTGAGTTAATTCATGTATATATATATCAGCAGATATGGTTTTGCTTAAAGTTATTTTTCGTCTGTTTTTTGCAGCTAGTGACTTTGTGAGATGAATTTTTTTTCATATTTAGCTTTTCTTTCAGTATTAACATATATCTCTGCATATCAACTGAGTTCCTATGCTCCGTTTCAAGTATCCTGTCCCCATAATCAGAATTATACTCGAACTGCTGATTCGCTATCAAATGATGAAAAAAACTGGTTACAAGGACGTAAAAAAATTACTAATGAAAAGTTGATAAGCTTTTTGGAGTATGCAAATTTAGTTGATTTCAATCCGTCAGAGTTTATAAACAACTCTTCCATTGGTAATATCGGCTTGGCTTTCAGTGGTGGTGGTTATAGGGCTATGTTGGCTGGTGCTGGTATGTTGGCTGCGTTAGATGAAAGAGTCGATAATGCTAATGTAAATGGACTAGGTGGACTTTTACAAGCTTCCTCTCACATAATTGGTTTGCTGGGTGGAAACTGGTTAACTGGTACTGTTTTCATGAATAATTTCACTTCGGTTCAGAATATCTTAAGTAGTGATCTGCTATGGCAATTGGAGAATTCGATTTTGAATCCTGGTGGCTTGGATCTTGTTGATACTATTCAATATTATCAAAACATCAAAGATGACATTGATGCTAAGGAAAGAGCTGGATTTGAAGTGACTATAACAGATACTTGGGGTAGAGCTTTATCAGATCAATTTTTAACTGATACCAAAGATAATGGTGCTTCTGCTCGTTGGTCAGATATTGCAAATAATCAACTTTTTGAAACCTTTCAAACCCCTTTCCCTATTTCTATAGCTAATGCTAGATACCCCAATAACATCATTATAAACTCCAACTCCACCATTGTTGAATTAAACCCTTTTGAAGTAGGTTCCTGGGACCCTTCCTTGTATCAATTTACTCCAACAAAATATTTGGGTACTAAACTTTATAATGGGGCTGCTAATGGGTCTTGTATCCGAGGTTTTGATAATGCTGGCTTCATTATGGGAACTTCCTCCTCCCTTTTCAACTCCATTCTTACTACCATTAATACTGAGTATATTCCTGCTGCTGCATCAGGTATTGCTAAATGTGTTTTACAAGACATCGCCAAAACCGATGAGGATATTGCTGCTTATAAACCAAATCCTTTTTATCACACGAAGACTGGCTACTCTGCTGATCTATCCAACCATGAAACTTTAGCTTTGGTAGATGGTGGTGAAGATAAGGAAAACGTTCCATTCTATCCGCTTCTTCAACCAGAGCGTAATATGGATGTCATATTTGGTTTCGATGTTTCTTCTGATACAGACCAACACTGGCCCGATGGTACTGCTTTAGTCAGTCCTTACGAGAGACAATTTTCCGATCAGGGTAATGGTACAGTATTCCCTTATGTTCCAGACCAAAGAACTATCCTTAATCTTAACCTTACTGCAAAACCAGCTTTTTTTGGTTGTAATGCCAAAAATTTGACTTCATTAGGTGGTGGAACAAACACTCCTCTTATAGTTTATACCGCAAATAGACCATTCACTGCTTGGTCTAACACTTCTACTTTTAAATTGAGCTATCAAGAATGGGAAAAAAGAGGTATGATTCAGAATGGGTATGAAACAGCTACAAGATTGAACGGTACTTTAGATAAAGATTGGCCAGCGTGTGTTGGCTGTGCTATAATAAGAAGAGAACAAGAAAGACAAGGTCTTGAGCAATCGGATCAATGCAAAAAATGTTTTGAAAAATACTGTTGGGATGGTACAATTGATGATGATGAAGTTCCTGGTGTTAATTTCACTGATGAAGGGATCACATCTGGGAATAACGAAAGCGGAAATAGAACCCTTACTAAATTCAGAGATAATTTGCTTTAATATATAGACAGTTAAAAGTCAACTTCAAGACCGGGACAAAGACGTAATAACTCGGCTCCAATTGTAATGTCCATTATACTCAAGCCCACTAATTTACAAAGAGTTATATTGGATTCGTTTTCATCCTTTCCTTGATAAAAGTCATAAACTTCTACTAAATTTTCTTCTTTGACATTATTTTGAATAAGCTCACCAGCTTCGTGACCAGCATGTTCTTTTGAATCAACGATAATCTTTCTGTTTGACTCAAGGATATTGCCGACTATTTTACTGTCAACCTCTGTCATATGAGGTTTATAACTTCCGATAACTGATATGTAGATTTTCTTATTGGATTGATCGATATATTCCTTAAGAATTCCTGGGGATGTAGTTGGAACACAACCGTACACTATGGATACTTCCTTGTAAGCATTTTTGATCGAGTCGCTATCCTCTACAGGGACAGGGGTAAATTTAACTTTGTCATACTGGTGGGAAAGTGAAGAGCAAAGGGCTTCAGCTTTAGACAAGGTTCTATTACAAATGAAAACTTCATTGATGGAATTTGAATAAAGTATTAGAGTTAATTTTATATGCCAATATGCTTGGGCACCAACACCGTTCACAAAGATTTTTTTAGGAATTGAATGTTCGTCCTTTGAATCAAGGGGTAAAACGTTCACTAATGGGATAGTTGAACATAAGGCTGTTCTAAAAGCAGTGACGATTGCACCATCAATAAGACCAATTGGCGCTCCGTCAATAGGGTCAATGATCAATGTTGCTCCTTTGAAACCACTCGGAGAGCCGGTAATTAGTTTCATACCAACATCAGACCCTAATGAAGGCATAAACAAATGAGTAGTATTGCCTTTGGATGAAACAGTTCGAGGTGGAATTATAGAAGGATCCTCTTTATATTGTTTCAAGGCACCCAACATAACATTTTGGAAACCGTGAATACGATCTGGGGTTAGATCATTCAAGAAGGAATCAATTGCTTTGGATCCTAGGAGCTTCATTCTTTGGTGTCTTTGAAGAGAAGTATTCAAAGATGTTACTTTATTATGAAGTCAATGAAGCGAAAATTTGCGATCTCCGGAACCGGAGTTTTTTTTTTTTATCGTGAAACCTTAGTTAAAACTCGAACTACCAAATCTTACAATAGTACAGATGGCCCCTAGTATACCTTGTAGAGTAAGCCTTGTTCAAAGATCGAGCACTGGTAATGCTTCTCACCAGCCAAGTATGAGACCGTACTTGCCTACTTGACTAATAGTAGGTACTAATCATCACCTCTACCAGAACAATCCCTTCGTTTCTGAACTCCTTAAGAGCTTGACCACCCTTTCAAACGAGATAATCTCTTTGATGGGGGTAAATAAAGGGAAAACAGTAGGCTACCGAAGAGTTTAACGATGTTTCTACCTTTTTTCATATTTTTGTGAAAAATCCTGCCAAAGTGATAAATTGGGTTTAACAACCTGAATCCTTTTGGGGAAAACCAGAACATTTAATCAAAGATTGAAAAACTCTGAAAATACTGAGTAATTCTTCAAAGTATTTTAACGTTGTGGGATACCTTTAAGAATATCTATTCGACTTGAGGAAAATCACTAAACCTTGTTTATCTACTGAATACTTTGAAATTTTTTAAAGATTATAAGAGCAAACTTGTCATTTCTTGCAGCTAGAGATGGGTGAAAACTGACTGGTGTGCGTATACTTGTTATCAAGGTATATATTCGCAGCCGTGGCCATCGGAGTTGCAACTATAAGAGTAGTTCCGTTGCCCGTTAAGTTGTCGTGCATCTCAAAGGAACAGTTGCTTTCTCTTTTCCCTAAATTTTCAAATAAATTCATTTCTTCGAGTCCTACTACCGTTCAATTGAATTGTGCTTAACAATGAACAAAGATTCGAGTTTTACCTGGATTCCTAAAAAGCTTTCTGATTTGAGATTGTCCGTGCTCATCGTCGGTGGTACTGGAGGTCTTGGGAGGGCAATCAGCCGTGCCTTACTGGCTGCTGGTGCTGATGTAACTGTTGTTGGTAGAACCTTTAAGGACGAAGATACTAAGATCAAGTTTGTCAAAGCAGACCTTAGTAGTATCAAAGAGTCCGAGAAAACAGCTCATGAACTAGATGTTTCAAATACCGATATTCTTCTCTTTACTACTGGTATTTTTGCTGCTAATTCAAGACAGGAAACTGCAGAAGGCTTAGAACGTGATATGGCTACTAGTTATTTGAACCGTTTGGTAATGCTTCGTATTTTGGTGCCAAAATTGAAAAAAACTAGTGCTCTTGGATTTGCCCCAAGAGTTTTTCTCATGGGATTTCCTGGTAATCAACAATTAGGTAATATCAACGATTTGAACCTGGAAGGGAAATATTCAATGTGGCAGGCCCATATGACCACGGTGGCTGGTAATGAAGCTTTAATTTATGACAGTGTTGATAAATACCAAGGGGTTCATTTTTACGGCTTGAACCCGGGACTTGTCAAAACTGGTATCAGAAATAACTTATTGGGTGAGAACTCTTGGGTATCTTCAATGATTGAGTCTTTGATCGGATGGTTTACCCCAACTCCAGAGGGCTACGCAGACAAGATTAGTCCTATCTTGATTGCTCCCGAATTAGAAAAGCGTAATGGAGGTATTTTTGATAACAAAGGTAATGCCCTTTTCCCTTCTAAAGGTATGACCACAGAATATTCTAAGAAGTTTGTTACCGAGTCGGAAACTTTACTTAAAAACAAGGGCTTATAATGAGTTTCATTTATTTTCTTTGATTATAATTTATATATTTTACTTTATGACATTAATAAGAATTGATTTTTTTTAGAATTATCCGTAGTTCTAGAGAAATTTTGCATCAAGTAGCAATTTATTTGAAAAGAGAAGGGTAAGTGCTTGAAGAAATTCTTACCCTATTGAAAGAGAGAAGAAAACATTTGGAAAATAAAAATCGAATTGGGATATCACAATAGAAGTCATTAATGAGTTTTGAAACCGTACTTCTCGACCAAATTCCAGTAGGTTGAAGAAGAGTCTTTTCTGAACTTTTTACCAAAAATAATCATCAAGAAATTAGTAGCCCAGAGTGCTACACCAATACATCCAATCTCAACATATAAGTTTTGGGTTCCAGAATTTTGCAACCACGGTGTAACTGCATAACCAAAACCAAAACCAATTGTATTTCTGATTATAATCATTGTAACAAGGCCATCACCGGAAACTTCTTTATAAGAATCAATAATATAATTAATTGCAATAGTACTGCCAATGGGGAAAGTTGAGCAAATCATAGCCATTCCAAAAGCTAATCCAATCCAGTGAATTCCTTGTCCAGCACCGATCCCAAATAAGAAACAACCGAAAGGATGAATCAACAAAGGAATTATAGCAAAATATAATTTTGATTCAGGCTCTCTGAGTCCAACGCCTTTTCTAGCTTTATATATAGCAAACTTATCTCCAAGGCTCCCAGCCAAAAAAGTACCTATAGTTATACCAACTACGGGACTTAAGAAGAACACACCAATTATGTTTGCCGAAAAATTATAAGGAGCAGCAGAAAGGACAGAAGACATGGTTGAGTTAACAATAGTATACCATGCAACAACATTACCAGCAGTTAACCCACCAAAGAAAACACTTGGAAACCTAATAAGATAGAAGGGAATCCATAAGGACTGCAACGTCTTGAATCACGGGCACCCCAAAACTTAAGTTTTCGAAGATATGTTTTTCTTGTATGTTGAGTTTCTGATGAATCATCAATGTTTTCAACATTTACATCAACTTTATCTTTTTTATCATTTTCGAGGCTTTTGGTACTTTTAACATCATCAAGTTTACTCAATTCTAATTGAGGATCTCGATAATAAAACGTTTCTTCTAAGAAGAAGAATAAAATGATGAAAATAGTTCCGGATATTATCGAAGCAATATATTGGATCCATTGCCACCCATAACGGTCTGCAATGAAACCAGTTGCTACACCCGATAAAAATGGTGTAGTGAACAAGGTATATACATACCAGGATATCCATGAACCTCTTTCATGAGCAAAGAAAATGTCAGACATACAAACTTCAATTAAAGTTTCGGCAGGTCCAAAGAAACAACCAATGATAATTCTATTGGCATACCATTCACCAACACTTTTTGCCTTACCAGCCCAAACTGAACAGAGAGTACACCCTAACAAACAAACTAAAAGAACTGGTCTTCTTCCATCATTAAGACCCAATCCTTGCCAAACAAGATTCTGATAACCAAAAAACAAGTATAAAACCCCTTGGCCACTATTCAAAACAGAAAGAGGAATTCCAGTATCCTCTTGAATCACCAATAGAACTGGTGAAAGAGCAAGAGTTAAAATATCAAAAGCGAAAACCGTCCATAACAATAAAACTGCAATAGCGTATTTTTTGCGTTTACTCCAACGAAGTGGATCGTCAGGATTCAGCGTTGGTTGCGGAATAAGAACAATATCATCCCCATTTTCGTGCTCGACATTCAAAGTCCCTTCGATATCAACCAAATGGACAGTACCGGGGGTTCCTTTTTCTTCAATATTTGAGCTCATTTCGTTTAGACTTACATAATTGCAAAATTTCGAAAATCTAGTTTCAACAGGGTCTTATAAATGAGTTGAAGATTATTAATACCCCAGACTAAGATTATTACTTCTCTCAGCTAACCATTACATATTACTAATTGAACATGTTATTGTTTGCCAATCAAGAGTGAAGAATCAACCAAACTCAAGCATTTGATGAACAAAACGTTGTGAAAACACAATTGTGTATTTTATTTTTGATTGCGAATTTTATTTTTTTAATGGCGAATTTGCTGCTTTTTCACAATTGGAGTTGAGCTATTCACTTTATACTGTATTTTGACATTTGTAATCAATGTGTCTTTCCACAACTGAGTCTGGAAAATGTAGCTTAACACCTTGAAAGATTTGTAATATTTCAAGTTTACTGGAAATACCGTATTCATTTCGCCAAAGTTTGAATGTTTTGAGGGTACGGCTGATAAACTTTTACTAAACCGTTAATAAGATCCAAATCAAAAAGGCTTAACTAGACATGTATTCTGGTGGTCTCTAATTTGTAAATGTTACTAATGGTCCTACAAAAAAGTTTTGTTATTTTCCAACAACTCTTACTGGTCTAAAGTCCTATTTCATCAGATTTCCGTGGAACAGTATTTGATATGGTTTAGGCGAGCCCATCTTCTATTGTTGACGGCTAAAGATAGCCTATTATTCAAGGCAAGGGCAACGGTATGCACATAACAATAGAATATTCTCAATTGAATATAAAATATGCCACCCATAACAGTGGCTTTCGCTCGCAATTTTATTCTATCTTGTAGTAACCCATAGCTGAGGGCAGCATGAACTAAATAAGACAAAGCTTGAAAAACAGCGTTTTCTTATTTTTCAGAGCAAAAATCACAACTCTCGTTGGGGCCCTCTTGGATTTGTTCATGGATTTGACTTTCCGTTTTCCAAACCTTTTTGGGGACCCACAAAAAAAGAACTTATATCCTTTTCTTTCTGAAGTCAATCCTTATAAAACAAAACTATTTCAACTGTTTTCAAACCTTTCATGCTTGCACTGAAGTCGGTTGGCTTCTTTATAAAAAGGCTGCAAAACCACTGCGAGAATAAGAGGTACGGATGTTAACTTAACGCTGATACTCTTCTTGGTTGCAACCAAAGCTTATCGTGAATCCAATACGTATAAGTGAGCGATGTAATGAAGTTCATCCTTAAGTTAATTTGTGGAAATGTACTAGAGAGTATATGCAAAAATGGCCACTCATACTCATAATTCTTTTAATTTATTCCCAAAGCAAGATCCAACTGAACCATAGAGACATTCACTTTTTATGAAGCTAGCTAAAGACGGTCGAAGAAGCCGTACCATGTGAAGAATGAACAAATGTGAAAGTTGTTAGCTTAAAAGTAGTTAGAATAAAGCTGTTAGCATGAATTTGTTAGCGTGAAATTTGTTAGTGCAGAAATTCCGTCGGAGAACAGACTCATTAAATTCCGTTATAATAAATTCCGCTATCAAGTAGGGTTTATATAAACTACGGTGAATAACTTGAATTGGCTTGAAATAATTCAGACTACAAGATGTTACTTTTATTAATAGCTATTGTGTCCAAACTCACACTTTCTTATTGTGCCTCAGTTGATTATGGTCAAGCACCCTTATTGTTGGAATACGATGAAAAGAGCTTTATTGATTCCATTTATGGGGAACTAGTTGAATCAGAAGAGTCGAAGAAGCATAAGGAAATATTGCTAAGGGAAGGTGTTAAACAGTTTAAGTATCCAGATACAGGGTACGATGTAACTCAATTGGAATCAATGTCATTTCAGGAAACCGTTAACTTTATGCAATCAATTGATACTCAACAAATGATGCGTCGTAAATCTCATGAAGCTTACATGAAATACCAGCTGAAACTTAAGTTACCACATCCTGATGATACTTCTGACATTACTGATGATAACCCTAACTTATTTGGGGGCATTGTGACTTTTGCTAGAGCTCCACATTTTGATTGCTTTAATCCAATCAATGATGATAAGACCATTGATATTGCAATAGTGGGCAGTCCATTCGATACCGGTACTTCATTCAGACCTGGTGCCAGAATGTCACCAGAGGCTATACGTTCTGCTTCAAGAAGACTTGGTTTAGGTTTGACTCCAGTCAGAGGAAATGGTCCAGATTCGAAGCTTTCAAAAATTGATCCATATAAAAGCAATTTCACTATAATTGACTGTGGCGATGTGCCCATGACTCCCTTTGATAATAGAATTGCTTTGAATCAATTATACAGAGGTGAAAGGTCAATTCATAAACATAAATCCAAGAAGAATTCCAAAAAAATACCTAAAATAATCACTCTTGGTGGTGATCATACCATTACTTTAATGGCTTTGAAATCAGCTTATGAAAAATATGGAGAAATAGCGGTCTTACATTTTGATAGTCATATTGATACTTGGGATCCAAAAGTATTAGGGGGAGGTATTTCTGATTACATGTCATTGAATCATGGAACTTTCTTACATTATGCTGCAGAGCAAGGATACCTTGCCAAAGGTTCTTGCTCACATGTTGGTTTAAGAGCTCCATATATTAATGCAAATTATGATCAAGATCATGATGAAGCTTTTTGTGGTTTTAAAAAATTTTCAGCTAGAGATATTGATAATTTTGGTATCAAGGAATTATCAAAAAGACTAAAGGCAATTGTAGGTGATAAACCTGTTTACATCACGGTAGATATTGATGTATTGGACCCCAGTTATGCTCCAGGTACTGGGACAATGGAAATCGGTGGTTTACTGACCAGAGAATTGCTTACACTTTTAGACTCTCTTGAAGGAATCAATTTGATTGGTGGTGATATCGTAGAGGTTTCACCTCCATATGACTCCAATAGTGAAATCACCTCTTTGGCTGCAACAAGTGTTGTTGATTCTTTATTAGGGCTCATGGTTGTAACTGAAGTTGAAATTTAGTATGTCGCTTGGAGTATCCCAAAGCGGTAAGACAATTCAAAAATTCCGTTGAGAATCTTTACTAATATGAAGTAAGAATTTGCAACCAAGTCTGATTAACGTTATAGTTACATATGTATATATACATAGTTATTTAATGATTGAATCTTCTATATTTCTAATGTTTGTATGTAACATCCCAACTTATGTTTGATATCTCACGCCTGTCATCAACTCTATGGGACCCACCGATAACAACTATCACAACAAGTATCTTATAAGCAACGACCTTACTTTTTGGGGGAGTCAGAATATATGGTCATATACTACGCTGATGATGGACAGGAAAAAAAAAAGTATGTTACTTACCAGCATTCTACTTATTTAGTAAACTGGGAGAAATGATTGTTGATAAAATTAAACAGAACAAAAAGAATTTTAGGGAGACGCTAAATGCATTGAGATGTAATTCCTATCCTCATAAATAATAAATTGAGTACAGTCTTTAGATGAAGCTATTGACTGTGGTAATTAATTATTATGCCATTTGAAGAAGGGTTTTTGACAAATCAATTTCCGAAGCTACCAGCTGACATAGTAGTTGATATTTACGGATACCTACCTGGAAAAGATGTATTGAAGAGCTTTCTATATCTTAAGAGTTCAAACTCCCGGAAAGAAGTAATTGGTAGATACTTCCAGGGCCGAATGGACTTTTGTTTAAGTCCACATGACTATTACTGGGATAGTTACCCTAGCAGGGTATACTGGTGGCTGAAACAATCAAGTAATTGGAACTTTATAATTTCAGCCGAAATTCAAAGTTTTTTAGATTTGAACCAAGATATTAACCCACCAAGATTAAAGCTACTAGATGAAACATCTACAAGTATTTTGTCAAATCCCTTTTTCAAGAGATATATCACCCGATTTTCTAGCAAAGTTGACCAACTTATTCTCGAAATGGATGAGGTAAATGAAGACTTGGAAGTCATGGTTAATAAGGTGGAAAATGTCTATGGAGTCATTTTTGGCAGTTTTAACAAATGTTTAAGTCAAATGGAAAATGGTGTTCTTTTAGAATGGAAGAAGTTAAGTTTATTCAGAACCGGAGAGCCAAAGTTGAAGGACTGGTCAAACATTAAGTTTCCATCCAGTTTGAAGACATTCCAGCTTTGTGGATGTTATGAAGTAGATTTTTCAACTTTGAAGATACCAGACTCAGTTGAGCATATAGTCATCAGCGACCTGGAGGTGTCTAGACCCACTGATGGTGATCTTGATCATCCAGTTTTGGAGAACTTTCCTCTTGAAATCATTCCTTCAGGGTTGAAGACCTTGTCTATTCAGCGATTTTGGTTGGAACGATTCACTTACATTATAAGTGTTAAAAATCTTCCTCAAACCCTAAAGAACTTGGATCTATATCAAGTAGAGGTAGAACTTGGACCAGAAAATTACAATTTTGATTCTACTCGTTTATGGCCGCCTTTATTGGAAAAAATCAAACTTACCAAATGTTCAATTAATGATAGTAAACTAATGCAACTTAATTCAATGAGTTGGCCAGAAAAACTCCGTGTGCTTGATTTAAGTGGAAATGGATTTTCATCTTTAAGTTTCTTGAATTATATGCCTCAAAACTTGGATCAACTTAATTTGAGTGGTTACAAATTCCTTGATTTTGACATTTTTCGGGAAACTACAGAAACAATTAAGTTTCCAAAGTATTTGACAAAACTTAATATGGGAAGATGCAAAATTAAATGCTTAAATGTCATAGAACTACCACCATTCTTGAAAACGCTAAGCTTGTATTACAACGAAATCAAGGATCTAAGAGCGTACGAAGCTGAAAATATTACCTGGAGCAAATTAGTTTATTTGGAATCTCTTGATTTATCACATAATCCAATATTATCACTACGATCCTGGTATCCTCCAGACAACTTAGCTTTCTTAGATTTATCACGTACTTCCTTGACAATACTTAGGCCTGATTGTTCAATTTTTGCGGAAAATCGGAACAAGAAGTATTCAAAGTTAAAATCAATTACTTTAAGAGGATCGTTAATGTATATTAATTATTTGGTTTGTGTGCCCCCTAATCTTTCCAAGTTGGATTTGAGTTTCAATTATATGCTCAACCTGGTTCCTTTGCATTCAAAGTTCTTCACACCAAACTTAAGAGAACTTTGTTTATGTAAGACCAAGATAGAACATTTGGAGCACCATGATTCAAATTTTAATGATAGAATCATATCCGGATTAAAATATTCAAAGAGGCGTATTCAGCGTTTTGATAATAAGAAAACTTAAGAGTATGGTAAGAAATTTTTCATTGATAATAAATGAGCTTCACTGTAGGTCATTAATTCTATCTATCAATCTTTAATGATAGTGAATAATCGAGGTAGTATTTCTAACTACTCGGTGGTTTTTTGCAAAGTCAAAAGTTCTCTAAATGTCTATTTTATCCTTGAATTCTCTTTGTTAGGTTCGTTTGCAAATTATTTTTGCAACCAAAAAAATAAGCCTCGCTTAGCTGTGGGAATAGGCACAAATACCAAACTAATGCCTTAAATAAATGGACATTCTACAAATATTGAATAAACGAAAAATTGCAATTGACTATAGAAAGGAAATCATTAGAAATATTATAAATAAGGGAATGCGTAACCGAATAAGAACGATAAAGATAAACTAAACCAAAAAATAACGAAAGAAATGAAGAGTTAATGACAGGACAGTAACAAAATTAAAGAGTACTTTCGTTAACAACTTCTAAAGCAATACCAGTACCACCAGTACAGCCGTTGTTAGCCAAGGAGAATTTGTTATCACCAGATGGACAGGCGGACCAGTTATCTTTACCTTCGTAGGTTAAGTGACCATTGACAATCTTGAAGCCTTTAGAGGGAGCTTGACGACCGAAAGGAGCAACGTTACCTAATTCACCAGTTTTTGGGTCAACGTAGATTCCTTTTTGATCTTGATCGTATAAAGTACCGTCAGATCTTAAGGTAAAAGTGACGTCTTTACCTTCATCACCACCAACGGAGAAGACATGAGGATGAGAATCAACTTTTTTGATGGCAGCGTATTGGAATTTAGAACCAGAGTGAATTGAAACAACACCGAATTGGTATTCATTTTTTTCATCAAGAGCGAAAGTTGGTTCAGAAGCTTTAGTAGTTTTAGTATCTTTTTTAGCATCTTTAGTAGTGGTGGTGGAAGTAGATGGATAAAGGTTATCAACATCTTTAGGACCGGCAGCTAAGATACCAACACCAAGGTTGTCAGAACTAGTAGCAATGTTTAAGTCTTTAGATTTGGTGTTAACACTGAATTGTTGTTTGTCATCATAAGTAAGGAAAGAAAGATCACCAGAAGTAGTAAGGGCGAATTTTTTATCGGCTTCATCACTTTCAACAAGGTTTTTATTTGAATCTAAAGAAATGTATTTTTTAGTTTGAGAATCAACCAAAGATTTATCATCGTTTAATACGAATTCAATCTTATAACCTTTATTAAGAGTGATCGATTTACCATTATTAGTAACAGCAGCATATTGGTAGTCAGAACCAGAATGGGTTGAAACAGCACCAAAAGATTTAGCAGCAGCAGCAATGGCAATTAAGGTAGAAATAGAGAAAACAGTGGAGAATTGCATTTTTGTAAGTTATTTGATTGAGTTATATAATTTGTAATGATGTAGAAATATAAAACTAATTGAGAAATGCTGGAATCGATGGGCAATTTATATTGATTCAATTTTGCAGACCTGTACGTATATGGAGGGCTTACTAAGGGACATTTTTCCATTCAAGACTATTTAAAGAATGAACCACAAGAACGTGGATAAACAACAACACTAACTACAAATAACGGTATAAATAGCATCAGGAAAAATGTCATCACTGTAACTCAAAGTCAACTTCCCCAGAAAACATCAGCAAATAATTCTTAAATGACCGTTTTTACCGGGACAATACTCCTAAAATAGAGACCTTCGGCAGAATTTGACCCAATTGTACTACATAATCGTCCTCTTCTTTGTTGAATTGAGCCATCAGCTCATTACGAGGTCGTATTCTTAGGAATCGGTAGAAGTTTGCCTCACAACCTTCCCGAAGCACTCAATTGTTTAAATTTTATCTCCCTTGACATATTTTTTTCTTTTTTGTTGATGTTTCTAAATTTAATTCATTTTTGTTAGGCGTTTTTGCTAACAAAACAAAAAAAAAAGGAGCTCAGATGGGGCTTCTGTGCATAATCGATGAGATGAGCAGATCTGTCAAAAGAGAATTACATCATAACTGGAGAAGGGCATGGACACATCTGCTGACCGAAAGCAGCAGAAGCAAGTTGTGATTGGAAGTTGATTGAAGAGCTAGTTCAGAAAAGTCTGACATGTAGATTATTGCTGACAGTTATAAAACAATTGATCCCAAATGTACTTATGGTTTCCTCAAATCACCATTTTGGCTCGCATCGAAGACAACGAAGGTGATTAATTTAAAATGTAGCTTAGTTAATACGACATCCATGCTTATTATAAGCCAGGACCGTAAGACCTAGTGTACGATTGAAGTTGAAGGAGTAAGCATAAAACCGAGCAAAATGCTTTTACGGTGATAGAGGTGGCATTTCATGATTGGTTCAAAGTCTAGGAATTTGCAACAAATGTTTCACATATTGAAAAATCATTTCACTTGAAGCAAAAAAAAAACAAGGTTGGGTGAAAGATTTAAAAATCTTGGAAGTGAGAGAGCAATGGTGTATTAGTAAGACCTCCATTATTAATGACTATGTATCGGGCTGGGTTTTAAGTTATACCCTTCATTAGCAGCTTTTTAGTTCTGCAATTTATTAATTAAAGACCTCTCCGGATATAGTCCCGATTAGGAAGTCGGCCGTTTACTCCACGGCATTCCGTAAACGGAAACTCCGTGAATGATTGCAAAAAAACATTCGGTTGAATCCCAATGGATCAAAGCTATAAATCATAGAGTAGATTAGTATAAATAACAGTTCTGTTTTCCTGCTGAAAAGATTATTGTTCTTTCTCATTACTATTGAATATCAAATTAAATTAAAATGTCTACTACTGTTTTTGTCCTGGGTGCTACTGGCTACATTGCTTTACATGTTGTTAAAGATCTTATCAAAAAAGGTTATTCTGTTGTTGGTTCAGTTAGATCTGAGGCTAAAGGTGAAAAATTAACCAAACAATTTGGTGGAAAATTCACGTATGAAGTTGTTCCAGATATCAGTATTGAAGGTGCTTTTGATGAAGCTTTGAAAAAACATCCTGAAGTTACTGTATTCTTACATACAGCATCTCCTTTCCATTTCGACGTTACTGATGTTGAAAAGCAGCTTTTGGTTCCTGCCATTGAAGGTACTGTCAATGCTTTGAAGGCCATCAAAGAACATGGTCCTCAAATCACAAGAGTTGTTATTACTTCTTCTTATGTTGCAACCTGTTCTCTTGAAGACGACGGCGATACTTCTCTTGTCATTACTGAAGATAGTTGGAATAGAATTACTTGGGAGCAAGCTTTACAAGACCCTGTTTCAGGATACTACGGTTCCAAGGCATTCGCCGAGAAAGCCGCTTGGGACTTCTATAAAAACGAAAAGCCAAACTTCATTCTTAGTACCGTTAATCCAGGTTACGTTTTCGGTCCTCAAGCCTTTGACGAAGATGTTAGTGGTACATTAAACACATCTGCTGAGATAATTAATGGTTTATTGAAATTAAACAAAACCGACTCCGTTCCTTTCTATAAAGGAGTTTACATTGACGTTAGGGATGTGGCTAAGGCACACCTTGTTGCGTTTGAATCTGACGAAGCTAAAGAAGAAAGATTGCTTTTAACTGAAAATAGATTCTACTCTCAACAATTATTAGATATCTTACACTCCAAATTCCCCGAATATGCCCACAATTTACCAGTCGGTAAACCGGGCCAAGGTGATCCAGTCGGTGTTAAAGTTGACAACGAAAAAACCAGAAAGATTTTAGGCTTCGATTTTATTGATTTGGAAGGTACCACTGTAGATACCCTCAAACAAATCATCGATGCCAATAAATAAACATGCTTCAACTTTTAAAAGGTGCTCTCTGATTTCTACAGAGACTTAATACGTTATAGTGATATATAATTGTTTTATAATATATTTAATTAACGAAATTTGACTGTATCTGACTTGTAACAATGTTGCCCAAACATGAAGATCGAATAAGAGTCCTTTATAACTGATTGAAAGGGGCGATGGCGGTCTAGCAGATTGACCACCTCCAGCTGCTACAACCTTATGAGTAGATAATTTATAAGAATACTGGACGAGTGCAACGTTGTCGCTATTCAATTACGTGAAAAAGTCTTACGTTCCCATCGAGACGATTCTTCCAAAAGAGGTGAAGATTTCGAACAAGTGATGGATATATGATCATGGTAATAATATCTTAAGTGATTTTTTAATAGTAACATTTATAGCAGAATAGATTACTATGTAGATACTCTGCAATTTTATTAAAATAAGATATTTTTTTGGCTGCTAGATATATCATTCAATTTTTTTTTTCTTTTCGAGGACAAAGTGAAAAGAATCAATTTAATATTCTAAATAGAGCTAAATCCTGAAACTTTAGGGTTTTAACACCAACAGGGTGGTCAAACAGAGATCCTCGCTAAATATTTATTTTATACAAGCCAGGTCTAAGAGAATTAACATCCCAGAGATCTATATATCGAGTTGAAGATGGATGAAAAGGTACTAAAATCGAGCTGCTAAATGTCAATGAAAGGTTTAAAAAGATTAAAAGCTTCAACTGCTTTAGATATCCAGATATCATCAAAGCTTCTCTGTGCAGATCCTTTCTAGTAATGAATCTACTTACACAACACGAAGTGAAGGGCATTTATGAATTACTTTCGCTTCGGATTTCTGAAATTGTCTTGTTGAAAGGCTTCACTTAGCTTAGTTACCTATAACAACCCAAAATTTTAAAGTTTATTAACAAAGACTATTTCTCTAGTGCAACATTCGTTTATTTGTACAGCTTTCAGAAAACCCTTTGCCAAACTAGATGAGGGCCTTTCATGTCTCATAGGCATCGTGATATCGTCCAGCGACGACCATCAGGCTATTCGAGGGTTCTCATCATACATTTTTACAAGATATATCAATTAGAAGAATTGCAAAGGAATTTATATAGTTAGCCTAGCTGGAATTTCATTCGTTGAACGTTGTCACAAGATGCAAGACCATCCTAAGGAGGAGAAGCTACTTTCTATAATCTCTAAACTTATTTTATGGGTATTGTACGTGAGTTACATCAAAAGCTTCTTTTATGGACGTTTCACTTCACTTGGGTTACATTGATTCATTCCAATACCTACTCATAACCATCGTTTAACAACTAACAACTCCTAGAATTAAGATAATTTCATCTTGAAAGCTTATGTAAAACCTTCTATATCTATGCTGACATACGCGAGATGCTCATATTGTTATTTATAGGATATAACGTATTTTTAATCAATGTCATCGTAAGACTCAAGATTTAAGTTTTACTGCTTTTGGACGCAGTTCCTTTGGAACATTGGATTAGGCCCCTCGATCTTCATCTGTATTAGGTGCTTAGTGGAGGTATATTCACTGTGTATTTTAAGCTTTGGGGAGACATTTCAGTTTTTTGTTCTGAAGGGACATTTCGAATTATTAAAGTATAACTTTACGTTTGTTCATTTGGCCAAGAGTTGTAGGTTGAAGCCGTACATCTTCGATCAATCCATTGAATCGGTTTATTGTTAAACAATTACGAATCTATTTTTATTCAAATCTGAATTCCTTATGATTTTGAAGACAGTCTTTACAATTCAATCGAGTTCAGACAGTAACTAATTGTAATTTTGGAGAATATAAGAGTGCCTGATTGCACAATTTGAAAAAAGTTTTATAATCAACATTTAGTATCAATCAATAAAACTAATAAATCCAAAAATGAAATTCTCAGCTTTAACTATCTTAACTTTTGCTGCTGCTGCTGTTGCTGATCTCAAATTTGATCTTAAAGCCGGTGCCTCGGGCACTGCTTTGGACGGTGTTGCTATAAAGAAGGCTGATTCCCATCTTTTTGCTTTCTCCGTTGGTGGGGACGAAGGTGATGACTTATCGTTCACTTTCAAAGGTTCTACTTTAGTTGACCAGGATGGTGCTGGTGCTCGTATTGACCCAGACTGGCAATACCTTGGAAGCGCACAAGGTTCTCAAAGTCCAACTGAAGGCTTTTCTCATAAAAATGATAAAGTACTTTATCAGGGTAATGCTAAATGGCAAGCTTGCCCCGTTGAGGGAATCGGACATGTCTTAATTTTTTCAGAAGAGAAATGTTATGAGGGTATCGATATTCAATTAGTTATGGCCAACCAACAAGAAGTATGATTGTTCTTCTGAATTTAACTAGTCTCTTTATTTAGTTTTTTACTTCTAATTTCATTGTTATTTTCCATTCAACATAAAACTGTACTTTGATCTCACCACGATACTATAGGCTGTTTGTTCTGACTTAAAGAGTACATTTATTATTGGTATCAAATTTGGATTAAAAGGAAATCTCTGCACATAAAATATTTTAGAATCTTCTCTATAATATAGTGACAATTCTCTTTTTTTACGTATTCTTTTCCTAATTGATCCTGTTAATTTATTCAGCTTTGAGATCAAATAAATTTAATCTGATTACTTTACATCTGAAGTTTTTCACTCCAAATTTAAAAAAGTTAAAACCTTATTTAATACAACCACAATAACAATTTTAATAAGTAGCTGTAAGAAAGATCAAACATGCACGGATGGTAATGATGAAGACTTAAACATTAGAAAGTGTGAAAAACAGCATTTTGCGATTTTATTGAGATTTGGGTGCAAAATTATGCAAAATTAATTGTATTAATCGAGTGAGAAATGCAAAAAATACAAAAATACAAAATTGTTGATAAAGATACTATTGACTTGGCAGGGAATTTTGAAATCGAGTAAAAGACGTAGATGAAAGGGTACATAAAAGAAAATAGGAGTTAGTAGATTGTCAAAAAAAAAAAAAAAAAAAAAAAAAAGCGTAGCGAAAGAATAGTATTTTGGGAGATGGATAGAGAAACAGAGCATGAATAGACTAACCAGGGGAACTAAAAATAGTTCAAATGAGTAGATTGTGTGTTTGATGCAAATAAAAAAAGTCATTTTTGTAAGTCTGTAATCATAATTTTGTTTAAATAAGTTTTTATATCAAATTTGATAAGTCAGAGAAGGTTTAATTTGTATCCGAAAAGTATTGAAGGTTATTGGGAAACTTTGTTTATCGCTTCTATTTCCTTCACCAAATATCATCCCTCTAAGACTTGTATGTGGTCATCGTGGCTGCAAATAGGGTAACTTAATACCACAGAAATACCTGAAATCTCTTTTCGCAAGAACAACCTTTAATAGGTAATGTTGTTTTAGTCGAAGTGGGCGTGCTCTGAAATAAAGATAGTTCTGAAGTGCCTATTTCCTAATAGAAGCTTGACAAAACCTTTATGTCTGTAGTAAAAGTGAAAGTGTGCAGTAAAGTTTCACTCTCGTATCGAACATATATACTTTGAATAGTCCGGAGAAGGATCCCACTCTTCGTAAGTTAATGACTCCATGGTTGGTAGGTGTTAAGATCTTGTGTACTAAATCGTTCACTGATACTCCTTGCATTGATAAGCCCTTTGTTACTTTCCAAGATCCCAGGAACCAGGTATATTGAGGTTATTTATTCTCCTAAAGGGTAACTCTTTTCATACTAAGCGATAACTAAAACCTATGTAGATTAAATCGTTTTACAAGTTACTGCATAATTCTTTACATTACATTTATGATTTATAACATAGATGTCCAGCAGTGGGAGGCGCTGCTTAGTATTGATAAGTACGCGTAGATTCATGATTGATAGTACCTATGACTTGATACTTAATACCAATTTCGTATTAATCACTTCACTGATTAATTTTCAACATTCAACAATATTCAGATATATACTAATGAAAATATTTTAAAAGATAAAAAGTTAGTTTATTAGATCGTTCTATGTGGAAGTGACTTTACATGGTTGCAGCTACTTAGTTAACCATATATACAAAATTGCGAATTATTTGAGACTCTTATCATGCTGTTTTGGTGATTAGGATCATTTTGAAGCTGGAAAATGATGCCTTTACCGAATTAGTTCTCCCAAATATCGGTGATAAAGTATTATATATTACAGTAATCAATAGGGCCTTATTACTTGTCGCTAGTTTATACTTTGTTTACAAAGCTTTAAGTAGGCTCTGTGAGTTTAGGTATCGGAATTGATAAGCTCGATAATCATTTTTTCATTTTTGACAATTATCAGATAAGGAATTGTGCTTTTCTAAACAGGAAATTGGCAACTAAGCGCAATAAGGAAGTCAATCGCTAAATGTTCTCTTTCTGGTTTGGAACTTATTGTCTTTTTATTAAGGGATGGTGACCCTTAAGATAAGACTAGAAGTAATATAAATAGTAAAGACATTCTAAGGCATGTATAGTAACAAACAACGACAAAATAGTAATCAATAAGTAATGGCTACTCCAGATCTTTTAAGAAGTATTCAAGATAATCGTATCGATAAAGTTATTCCAGAATCCGTTTATGACTCCAATTTAAAGTCAATATATGACAAGATTATTGAAAAAAGTGGAGTCAAAACCGTGGAAACAAAATTTGATCCTTATAAGCATTTGAAATATTATGCTGATGGGAAAGACAAGGAGAAATTCCATTCCACTAGAAAGATATCTATGGAAGAGTTAAGAAGATCTCACCCTGACCAAATTACTGATCTTGGTGTAACAGATCCTTTCCCTCTTTTCACTGATGAAGCTATTTCATTAATGAGGCAAGAATTTTTGAATCGAGATATCTTCTTGAAATATACAAGATACTCATATAGCTCAACAAGTGGATTGGATGCCAACTTAAGAGGGTACGTTAAGGATATGGATACTATTAATTGTCCCTTTATCCATAGTGCTTGGAACCATCCTTTGACCATAGATTTGATTAATAAAATGGCAGGAGTTGAATTAGAAATAATTTATGACTATGAAATTGCAATTGTGAATCTTTCAATGAAAAGCGAAGAACAGGCTGCAGAAGAAAGAATCAGATTCGCTAGGGAACAATCTTTGAGTGGTGTAAGTAATGGTGAAGATATTCCGGCTGTTGTTGGTTGGCACTATGACTCCCAGCCACTTGTCTGTGTTCTTATGCTATCAGATACAACTAATATGATTGGTGGTGAAACTTGTTTAAGAAAAGGATTAAAAGAC